TGCCACCAAAGGAGAGCATGGGGGACAGCTGACGGGGGGGACGCTGTGGCCGCCAGTCCGGGGTTCTCGGAGCGCTCGCTGGGTACAGCGTCTCGCGGCTCCGGCAGCGAGCAGGAGCCGGGAATTCCACTGGATCCGGCAGAACTCCTAGGTAAACGGATCCCATTGGTCCAATTTGATGTCTCTGCACAGAATGTAAGCTGCTGGCAACTTAAATGATCCTAGAAGAACAGTTGGACTTCAGGCCTTCTGCACCAGAGTTTTGAATCCTGGTACTAGCCAGTCAGGTCATGTGACACGTTGAGCTATGCGAGACAGCAGCGTCTGAATTGTAGTGGTCATGAGTGTGTTTTTATATTTTGTTGTGCATGTCTAAGCAGCTCATCAAATTAAACTTGATTCGCCCCCCACGATGACCGTTCATGAGGTTGCAAAAATACAGAAGAAATGAAATCGTCTGTTGCCCCTTCCTCTCTTCTCTTTCAGGTGGCTGATGGCCCGGACCCCCCTCTCACCTTCCTCCTCCTTCTGAGACTGGTCCGCTGAAACGGCCTCCTGCCCAGCAGCGAGGAAGACCCTTGCAGATGGTTCCCCCCTCACTCCCCTTGTCAACGAAACAAACCTCAGACAGGCCGTGAGCAAAATGAGGCCATTCGTCTCCTCCTGCTCATATGTTTGCTAATAGCTTATTGATTTCAGAGCCCTTTCACCCTGTCTCATGGAGGAAAACGTAGCAGCTCAGCGCAGTTGTGTGCTCTTTGCAGAGCGCCAAAATGTCTGCATTTCTTTGAACACCCCCTGCCACAAGTCCTTGATTTCAGATTTTAAACACTTGTTAACACAAGGTATCACAATTGCCTATTTCACCTATCTATAGATGAAGGATTAGAGTAGAAAAACTGCAGCGTGCAGTTCTCCATACGTGGACTTAGAGCACCCTTCTCCCAGAGACAGCTGAGCCTTAACACTGGCTGTATTCCTTTGAAACTAAATTGCAAACATTTGTCTCATAATGATCCTCTTTATTTTATACTGTATAGTGGTCTTCATGACACTTTACAAACAAAGCGAATGCAAACGGCAAACGGAATGAAAAGGTAGTGGCTCCAGTTTCCTTCCACTGTCCAAAGGAATGCTGTCCAGGATGTGAGGTGGGTGTGTGTGTGTGTGCGTGTGTGCGTGTGTGCGTGTGTGCGTGTGTGCGTGTGTGTATGTGTGCAATGGACTGGAGTCCTACCTTGTGCCCAATGCCAGCCCACTGCAGTGCTCTAAGATTGAAGAGGCTGCTAAAATGGATACCTGAATAAAAACTGCACAGGAGTATATAGCTGTATGGTAAGTACAGAAGTCAGTTGTATGACAGGATATTAAAAATTATTATTAGAGAATGCGTGGATTGTTGTGGTTTGAGATCCCAGATCTCCAGAATGGCTCCAGTACAATAGCCACATGCATACTGTAAATCCACGCCTTGGATTGGAGCATCAGCTGAATAAATTAACAGTAATGAGCAATAAAGTGCTAACTGAAGCCCTAAGATGGGCAGGAGGATCATTCCACCACCATAGAGCACCAGAACAGCGAATGTGTAGGTGTGGAGGGATTAAACAGGTCCCTGATGCAGTCAGGAGCCAAACCATGCAAGCTCTAAGCTCTTAGAATGAGCAGCAGTATTTTAAATATTCTGAATTCCACAAGGTGACAGTGCAAGGAAGCTGAAACAGTTTATATTTGCTCCTGCAGTTTAGTTTCAGTTCAGAGGCAAGCAGCTCTGAGTTCTGGGCATAGAGCAACTTAGTAAGAACTCGTTGAGCAAAAACTACAAAACACACTGCCAACACGAGCCCTGGGATTCCTAACCCGGGTGCTTGGAGTGGTTTTCCCTGACACTCAGGTATTCCCTGCTCATCCTTACTGAGACCTCGGCAGACTGCTAATCCTAAATAATATTAGGACCTCACTTATTTTCTATCTTTACAAACAGACAATCTTGAGGCAGGAATACACAGAATTTGATCAGTGTTGTGCTACATGTTGTTCAAAACCCAAGTCACTTGTCCTGCTGCAAACTGAAACTATTCCCTTAGTGAAAAAGTTTTTAAAAAACACTGGGGCAGGGAGCAATTGGACACAAGGAATGTTTAATCAAGTGTGTCGCAGTGGCCTCGCTAACTGTGTAAGTTATTGTTACACAAAACGAGTTCACCTGAAAATAAGCAGGTCTTGAAAACCACACTGTGCTCTCAGTTCGCTTGCTGTCACTCTGCACTAATTCCTGGTCTGAGATGGGATGAATTAGGGATCAGAGTCTACTGTGGTGTCATCTTGTGACGTACGGAATATGTCAGTTTTGCAGAGGAGAATGCCGGAGATAATGTGAGGAAGAGGTGCTTGAGGCAGGCTGGGTCCAAAATTAGAAGCGACTGCCCAGAAACACTGAGGAAATACAACGGAATTGAAAATCAAAAGAGCTGCTCTGAGGCCTGTTTCGTGTCTTATTGTGCGCACAATGATTACAATTACTTGGCACCTCGGATCTAGTGTCGAGGTGAACTGTTCCGACAAAAAAAAACGCAACTGTCAGGTCGTACTTGTTTTGCCTTTCTAAGACAAATAACCCATTAAAAACCCTATTAGGACCCAAGGACACACATGGAAGGTAAGAGTTAGAATGTTGATGACTGGGAGCAAGAGGCGTGTTTTACACCAGGGCTGGTGGTTGTCAGCAAGAAGCCTCCATGTCAAGCTGTGGCAGCTGATGCAACCAGGTCTTTCAAGAATTGGCCATGGAGGAGAGATTCTTGGATTAATAAGTTACCAGTAGCAAGCAAGGCGGTCATTATGGCCCCTCTCCTGTTGTTATCCACACAGATCACCTGTGCACAAACCTTTTATTATTTTAAGAAGTGCAAATAACTTGTAAAATAACAATCATGATGTTAAAGAGGGTTGTCAGTGTGTTAAACATTTACCCTTTGTCTAAATGAGTTGTAATAAAATATTACAGCTCCTGACTGGTGATTCAGATGATGACTTTTACGTACTGGAAGTTCTGGGGAAGAATTCCTTTAATAACGGTAAGCTGAAATGGAATTCTATGACAGCCTAAGACAGGAAGTGGTCATTTTCCTAAACATCCTGCACAGATTTTTTTAAACAATACAGCAGATGGGCCAGGTTGGTAAAAAAGGAAAAACCCAGCCTTATTCAGTAATCAGCTATCCACGCCTCTGCCTTTTCTCCCACACAGAAGCGTACTACAGAAATTGTTTTGCCTGCTAACTGCTGGTTACACACGTTCCGAGTTGGCAGATGCTCCTGCTCCAGGCTCTGGGAGAGATCCAGCTGGCTTTGATGGCTAGGAATTTTCTTCCTGGTTCCAGACAGCATTCTGTGAAGCCTGATAATGTACCCACGGTGGTTTAAGGTCAGAGTGCAGGACCATGCATACTGTCTGTATGGAAAAAGATATATACACGTGTGCTGAGAGTAGCTGGGAAGCGAAGGTGTGAATTACCCAGCAAATGCACGTTGCAGGTGGGGAAAGCGAGTCATTTTTCGATGTTTGGTTATTCCTGAGCCATGCCTGTGCTGCTATGCCTGCTCCGAATTGCGTGCTGTCGGGACTGTCATCAGTTTGGCCCAACCCAGGAGACTCTCCAAGGTCGGAATTCCAGCGATGATGAGGAGGTCTGTGGGCTGTGCTGGAAGAACCGGGAGCCCTACGCCACCATTCCATTACGAGGGCTGCGAACAATCTCCAGACAAGCCTGATGCGCTGCCTTCATGTGCGTGAACACACTGTGTCTCCAGGGGAGGCATGATTCACAGTGTGCGCAGTCTGCACCGCTCGCAAACATTCGAGCTCCCCAATGAAGCCAAAGAGGATGAGGGCAAGAAGACAAGATGGAACTCTGTCTCTTTAAAAGAATGTGCATGTGACAACCAGATGAGCGTGTACAGAGCAGTGATTGTCAGAGGATCTGCACATCAACTCCTGCATGTCCTTGTGTTACTATATTACTTTAAACACCTTTGACACCTGAAGAAGACTCCACGGCCGAAACATTGTTTTTTCTTTCTTCTCTTTTCAGCAGGGAATAAACCTCTTACTTGTTCCCTTGTGTTCCTATGACTGCTCTCTAAGGGCTGTGACCCTGATACATCAGAGGCCTGTGCTACACCGGTTCCTCACTCCGGTCGTCCAAGCAGAGTTCAGGTTTCAGATCCATCTTCCCTTTTGAAGCTGCAGCCTTTGGGAGCAGATCACACTGCATGTTGAAATCCCCCCCCTCCCCAAATCAATCGAGCTGTTGTATTCATTTAGAATATTTTATTACAGCTTTTAAAAAGGAATATGTACAGAGTTTTATATTTCCACAACATGGCATGCAATATAGGTAAACTGAAAATACCATTTCAAAATAAAAATGCTGCTTTGTTTTTAACAGGTAAGTATTTTGCAAACATTGTGAAATGTTGTTGGTATCTGATCCCCTGTTTTAAATGTCTGCGATGCAGCAGATGTAAAACTGCCGCTGATCTTGAACACTTTCGAGTTCTTACTAGCTTGTGCTTCTACAACTCGGCTACACCGTATCACATAATTGCCTTTTGTTTTTACAATCCGCAGGGCCAGGCAAGAAAGACCATCTCACACAGCAGCTCACGCACTGGGTAGTGATCTGACCGAGTCACTCTTGTTGGTTTATATATGTTTCAAAGTGCATAACACCAGAAAACATAAACACCTGAATTTTCTCTCTCTGAACCAGGCACCTTGTTTACCTTCCAGTACGTACACACAAACAGCGTGTCTCACGCACGGGAAGAGCAGGTTTCTAACTCTTTCTCGCCAACTATTCACTAGTGAGCCCTCCGAGGGGCTTGCATGGGGGCGCAGTGTTCAGCATTGCTGCCTTGCAGCTCTGGGGCCCTGGGTTGAGTTCCTGGGGTGCTGTCTGTGTGGCGTTTGTATGTTCTCCCCATGTTCATGTGGGTTCCCTTTCGGGGCTCTTGGCTTCTGGGAGAATTGGCCCTGCTGTGAGTGTGTGTGTTTGCTTCTGTGTCTGCCCTACAATGGCCTGCTGTCATGTCCAGGGCATACCCTGCCTTGTGTCTGTTGTTTGCTCGGCTAGGCTCCACCTCCAAATTGGAACAAGCGGTTAGAAAATTTGCTGTGCTTCTGTGTTTTGTGGCTTCTTTTCACTGTATCTCTGTGAGGACGATACGTTTCTCCAGGCAGGGCTTCAGAGTGACTTCTCGGCACACTTTAGACAGTGGTGATATCCTATGGCTTCCTGAGCTCATGTTCCAGGCAGCGTTTATCTGACGTTTTCAGGCAAATAAATAAGCTAATGCAGCTGATGTTTTTAAGTACGGTAGTCTTATTTTGATTCGTCCTGGCTTACTGTAGATCTCCACGCTTAAGGACCTCATTCAAACAAATAATGAAAAAGAAATGTATATATACACACACACACACTTTTCTATCAAAATATTAAACAATGTTTTGTTCCATAGTGACTAATCAGTGATCCACAGTGAACCATTCTGTCCCAAGTCGTGGGAACAGGCAAGCTCCCCCGTGACTCCCAAGCAGTGTGAAGAGGTAGCAGACTGGGCTTTTTTTCTAAGCATGTTGTACACTGCACATGCTGTGAAAGAAGGCTGATCTAAGCAGTCTCACAAGTGGCACGAATGTGGGTGCATGTTCCTCAAGCGCTTTACTTAAGGCAACAGCTGACCTGTCTAATGTGTCAATTCAGACAGCCCCCAAGGGGTTCACAGGGAATAGTTGGCAAAAATTAAACAGCCCAAACAGGAATAGCAATCTTGGCCACAATAAGATACTAAGCTGTTCCCCATATCTCAGAACTGAATCTACTGTTTTTGGTCCCATAACTTCAAAGACACATGCATTAGTCTTCCACTAGTCATCCAGAAGATGTGAACCTTCGGTAGAAATGATTCTGCAACACGCTCCTGCTGCAGTCACTGCTGGAGGTGAACTGCCTCTCTGTTAGGAGTATTCTCGAATCCCAGGACTGAACCGCAGAGTTAACCGAAAATGAAAGAGCTTAAATGAGAAGAGAACAATTGTGGGGACACAAAGGACTGAAGAGGTTCCAAAGCATGGTTTTCAATTAAAAATTTAAACCTTTTGTGCACATCACAAAGCCTTATGCCTCTTTTTTGATCTAAGTGGACACATGGATGCTTTTGAAGACAATAATCTGTTGCAAAGCAAACCTGTTCCCTCGCTGATCTGCGTGACTGTGGTTGCAGGAAGCCAACGAGGCCTGGCTTCCTCAGGTCTGTTTCTGCGTGCCAGGTGTGTGGGACGCTAGCCTGTGGTGTGTCACATCCTCCTGCCAGGCCAACTGCAGCTTGCAGTACACACCCAGCACAGGCCTGGCACCGGCACTGTAGTGCAGGGCTACCTGGCAAACTGCCTTTATTTTGGGGAGACCCCCCTGCCCAACACCCCTCCACTGCCCAAAACAGCAAATGATAGCAAAGAAAAGGAAAGAAAATCGTGACGCAGAATGTGCAGTGGGGATCAAGGGAGGACAGTCTCTGCTTCTCTCTGCCCAGGCACAGGAGCCAGACGTCAGTCACGGGGCAACAGAGACTTCCAGCTGTTTCATTTCCTTGCAGTCTGTGCTTTTTACCTGAGCTCCAGCGTCAAGATACTTTTTAAGAGGAGAAAAGTTTCCTGGCTTGTCTGACAGCCTCATAATAAGGATCCCCGAGCCAAGAGTGAGTATTCAGTGGCTCTCGAGCGCTCCAGAGGCGAAAGGCCTGCCAGCGCAGATGGCTGGGAGCGTGGTCGCTGGGTGTCTGTAGCACTGACGGAAATACCGTCTGTCAGCCATGATCCTCACTGATACTCAACAGCCATCAACACCCAGGCACCACCTGCGGAGGAAATAAAGAAGCATCTTTTTCTTTCTCCATTACACAGTAACATGATTTCCAAAGCCCCGCAGCATCTCCTGGCAGGGCCTGGGTGATGGATCTGCCTGCCAGTTCGATTACACCAGCGCTCCAGCTGTGCAGAGTAATGGCCTTTAAACCAGCAGTGACATCATAAATTATCTTCACATTATCTTAATGGCATCGCCTCCGTCCGCCCAGAGAGGTGCGCGCTGACACCGATCCCCTCCAGGGTCGGGGTTTAAGCTCGACACTTAATCATTTGCGGAAAAGCTTGACTTGTTTTGAAACGAAGCCTGGAGCCTGTTTCCAGCCTGCAGCTTGAAGAGAGAGCAGCTGCCTCTGGGAAGGAAGGCCTAGCATTACGCTACTCGTAGAAATGAATGCCAGGTGAGCAGTTTCAAATGGTGCTGTATTAAATCTGTTTTGTGACAGACATGTCTCTTCTGGTCATTTATTTCTACGAGAGTTATCTAGTCCTGTGAGAACAGCAAACTTTGAAGGATATAAAATGCCCTTTAAAAAACAACTCTACAAACCTCCCAGGTTGAGAGAGAAATCTACTGTAGCTTTCAGTTTTAAAAAAAAAATACAATTTTTAATGCATTTTTACATGTATCATCTTTAAAAAAAGGATTCTGTAAATGCCATGCCCAGCATAAAGAAGCATGTCATTGTGTCCTGAATTCGATTCTGAAGTAGAGCACCATCTGTGTGGAGTTTGCTAGTTCTACAGGTGTGCATTTGGGGTTTCTCCAAATGCTCTGAATCCCACATTCCCATAGCTAGGTTAATCGGTGTCTCTCTGTGCTTACATGTGTGCCCTGCATTGGACTGGCATCCCTCCAGGAATAAGCCTTTTTGTGTCTGATCTGCAGAGATCTGCAGAGTCTGTATCTTAACCTAAGAAATTCTTCTTAACGGCCAGGAGGAAGCAGCAAAAACATGTGTTTTTTGTTTGTGGGTACAAGCTGTGAAAAAAATGCAGCATATTTTGCAATGAAAAAATCATCACAGCCAGAGGCTGCCTGCCCTGAAAAAACCCACAGGCGAGCTCCCCTACACCCCTGCAATCTGACCACTTCCTGTCTCTCCTGTGCGCAGTGACATGAGCTCTCTGCCAGTGCCAGTCGCCCCCAGAGGCAGGAGATAAACTCAGATTTCTACCTGTCTAATGTTGCCAGATCCTGACTGCCTGACGTAAGACAAGGAAGCAAACCAAGAATGGAACAACAGTGGAAATGAAGAGAGAATTGTCCCACAGTGGCCGTGTTATTGCAAGCACGGTGTTTACTCATTTTGCCTATACACATATAAACCATACATATAGAAACTAAGGTTAATAGTCAAGTCTTCTGTAAATGTTCAGATCATATGGGTTTTGAAGCATGCAAAGCTCCCCAGTCCCAGTCCCAGTTCAGATTACATTTGGATGGCTCTTGTGTGGAACCTTTATGCCCCTAACTCAGCAGACACACACTTATAGGTAAGCAATATAAGGCTAGTTAAAACTATAATAACTTTAACCCGGCAACTGCCGAAAGAGACAATGTAGTCCAATGTGACTCATAACCCCATAAACTAGCTTAGTGCCATGCACAACATGTTGAAATTTGCTTTAAGGGCAGTAAGAGCAGGTGGCGGATTTCACAAAGGGCCAATAAACTGAATGTTTCTTCCTTCACAATAAACAAAAGGGCAGGCTTTCTCTGCTAGTTTACCCCCCATTTAAACCAGACAAATAAACACTACATTTCGCCTACAGTCCGTCTGGCCACGTCCGATTCAAATCCCAACTGGGGCGAGAAATCCAATTTCGGTCCCCTACAAAGTGACCTCGACTAAAAACAGAATCCAAAATACGTGGCTTCTGATCAAGACTCCCTGAGCCCAACTGCACTATTGTTAGTAATAAGAGGCGCATCATTCAATCAAAAAATAAAACTTTCCATGTTCACACCCTGCAGCCATTGACAGGAATTACATTTGTGCAGCACAACACCAAGCACAGACCAGAGCAGCCACAAACCAGGCAGGAGCTGCTGTCTTGGCTCCTGGGGATTTCCAAGAAGGCTGGTATGTGCACACGGGTGGAGAGCCGCTGTGGGAAAACTGGACAGGTTCTATTTTCTCTGGAGGCGGTCGTTTTCATACGCCAGCGATCAGGATGAGTTAGAGGGAGGTGATGACAAGCCAATGTAAATATTATAAACGCAAATGATATGATAAAGGAAAAATGAAGGAGGTAAAAAAACAAGCAGATCTATTCTTGCCCTGCACGTGTGGTGGCATCTATAATGGCAAGCAGAGCGGATATATAGGCTACATCTGTGGTTCTCCCTGTTTTTTTTCCAAAGAAGCCCCTGCTTTCTCACAGCTCGGGCTTCCTATCAAGAACATCTTGTTCTCGACTGACACAGCACTGAATAAACTGATCCCAGGGCCCTGATTGCAGCAGAACAAGGCAGAGAGCTCAGCTCTAACGGAACAGCAGCAGGGAAGGCTGTGACAATAGGAGTAGAAAAGGAGCAACATCAGTTTTTTTATTCCCTTTCTCACAGCAGAGACGTCACGGCATTGCACGCAGAGGACAACAAGGACAAGACACAAAATCCAGGGTCAGCTGATTAAACTTCGGAGTAAAGAGAATGTCCTATTTCAGACATCCCTGGCCCAGCTGCTTTTCTGGATTTGACAGCAACGGCACAGGTCTTTGGTTGTGGGAAAAAAAGCCGCCTGTTTCCATGGTTTTGTTAAACGACAGAAAAAAAGAGACTGAAGCAATTCTGTCATTGAGACAAAACACAGGCCCCTCGCAGGAAAGCCTGCTTGGGATTGTTTCTTTTTCCATGAATTGCCTTCGTTTTCATTATGGAGCTCTTATTTTGATTCCAGCATAAAAGAAAACGACATGTGTCATTAATCACTCCGTCCTGACTTTTGAGATCATAAAACCTTTGTCAACAAATGCAGATAGTGAAAAGCACACCAGAAATATCTGTCAATCTCAGTTCAGAAATGCACCCCAGAAGGCAATCGCTTAGCAAACGAACACGGAAAAAAATATTATTTTGAAAATGTCTATTTTGCTATTTTGAGGCACCCTGGACTAAAATGGTCAGCAAAACATTGCAAGTTGGCAAAACACCAGCTGTTTGAAACTTGCTGTCAGTCTAATGCCATTTAAGAAATTAAAAACCTTTTTATTTCCTGATCCAGTCAACATTGTTTTCTCTTGCCTGGGGATGACTAAACTAAAGGCTCAAAATGAATGTTCCCACACTCCTGAGCCTAAAAACACCACCACATCTCGCATTGTTGCTTGGCAACCAATTAACCAAGATGTGCACTTCCTCTTTATAGATGAGCTAAGAGAAGTGCACACTGGCCTTATGTGTTGTAATTTTTTAAAAAAATGTACATGGGGTGAAGGTTTCAAGTCAGTTCATCCTGGATTTACACTAATACTGCCTTTAACAAACCTGTTTGAGTTATCTCCACAATCAATGCCCATTCAAAGCTAATGATATCAGGGCTGCTGGCATCTGTGCATCCCATAAATGACCAGCTCCATTATAATCCTCACCAAATTCCTCCGGATGGGGTCTCTTCTGCAATGCAACCCTGAAGCGAGAATAATCCCAAGAATTAATAGATCAGACAAGTCTTTCTTCTGCAAAACCATCAAGACAAAACATATTGATAAAAATCCAAGAGAGCAAAATTGCCTTCTTCAGTGGCAGCTTATACACAAGGATGGTGAAAAGAAAGTGCAGATTTAGATATTCTTATTAAAGCACGATTCGGCGTGACGTGTTTGTTGCAGATGCAAGCAGGTCCTTCACCAGAGAGGAAGAAGAGAGGGTTAAAGATGCGTCTCCAGACTTGCCAAGATGAAGTATGCACAAGTGCAGGGCCTGTGCACTGAGCTCTATCTTGATCTCGCTGTGTCACCTGTAGGGTGAAAACAACCTTACAGGTGACACAGCGAGCTCTTCCCGTGATCGACTGGAAACGACTGCAGGCCACCAGCACCGGCGCCAACGACGGGGGCCGGAGCCTGGCGAGCTGTGCCGAGCGGACTGGGGCAGCTGGGCGGCAGAGGTGTGCCAGGGGTCTGAAAGGAAGGGAGTGTCACTCTGACAGTCAGCCTGGACTCCAGCTGTAGCCCTCAGGAAGAACAAGGAATCCTCCAGCCTGAGGGCTACAGCTATCGATTATCAGGAGAAGTCAGAGTTTTTGTCTGAATTGTTCAGGTTCTGCAAATTCTCTCCAGTGTATTCCTTGTTAAAACCGGGCCGCAGTACAATGGCCTCGAAGACAACGATTGTGCTCTTCCCAAGGCCCAGCTGGAGTAAACGGGTCATCCCACTAGCTGCTGTGCCATTACTGCAGCAACATGGAGAAACAGCATTGTGCCAGCTGGACGGAGATGCTTTTTACTTAATTGCCCTCTTTCAGTGCAAACATACCATTAGCACTGCATTGGCAAGTTTGCTTTTCAACCTAAGAACAGACATTTTACATGCAGTACTTTCTTGACAGGTAACAAATCATTACAAAACAATTATCCAACATCATCATGATAATTGATTAGAGCCCCGTCCCGAGTAATTAACTAAGTGCCTGTTGCACAGCCCGCTCAGTTGCAATGACACTCACTGGCTTCAGAGCACTGGCAATCAGACAGAAGTAAAACACGCTCTTGGGTTTTATTGCAGGATCATCCTAGATGTTGCTCCAGGCATGTAAACATCCATTTTGAGCTACGTTTCTGCGTTGTCATATGCATTCTTTTTCTCTCAATAGGAAAAAACAGTGCATTTTCTAAACAGGCTGGAGAGCTGAAACTAAGCACTGTAAATATCAAAATAAAATAATTATAACAGCAGCAATATTACTAACGTGATGGCTGCTTCACAAAGGTGGTCGTGATACTCTTACTACTTACACAGTTTTTAGCACAGAAGTACAGAAGCAACCTTTTGGTTTTATGGAGGTGAACAGAGGAACACCTCATGATAAATCAATCAGACTGGCTGCTCTTGTGTAGTATACTTTACCTTGAACTGTGATCACATTTTTGAAGATCCTGATCACAGCAAGTTAAAGATCTCTAAATGACAAAACTTGGTCATCACGGCCAGCGGACTCACAGAGCCCAGTTGTCATCATGGCCATCGTGGCCAGCGGACTCATGGAGCCCAGTGGTCATCGCGGCCAGCAGACTCATGGAGCCCAGTGGTCCTGGAAGAATTGAAAGCACAACCACCTCTTAGACAGGCCCATCTCACGGGTCTCACTGTCGGGGCGATGAAGCCTGTAGTGCCGATGGAGGAGTAACTCACTGGCTCCGGCACGGGGAGGTTTTTTCACTCACTTCTCAACTCTCCTGATCCGGGCTTCTGTAGCAGAAAATACTGACACAAACTTACACACGGCCCTCGCATCCAACTTTCATTCTGCATATTTTTTAAGGATTCTGCAGGGAATGAATATGGTATGTCTAGGGCAATGGGTCAAATCTAAATTCTCTCCCAAGAACTGTGCTCTTTGTGCAGAGTGACCTATTTGGACGGGGGGTTCCTGACCAGGAACTGCGCAATCTCATCCACCCTCCCCCGTGGTGCCTGGCCGTAACTGCAGGGCGGCAGCCGGGAGGCGGATCGGAGCGACACGATGGGGCACCTGCAGGGGACCTGAAGGACTGCTCAGGCCCGACTCCTGCAGAACTTCTGGGTCTCGCCCAGATTTGCAGATGTGCAACTAGAACAGTAACAAGTGTCTGAAAATATCCAGCTGAAGAGTTGTTTTTTTAATTACAGAATTGCTTCGAAGGTTAAGAAGATGAAGTTTCCGAAGGTTTCCAAAAACACAGCACTGAAAAAGATGAGCTTTGTTTTAAGAGAAATGACAGTTGCCTGGTGCTGTTTTTCCAACTGACTTTCTTCATTTTGCTTTTCCTCAAGCCTCTGATTTTGAAGGCAGTTTTTTTAGCTCTACATTTGCAGATGGAAAAAATATCCAGTCCACAAAATGTTATCATCTCCTTCCCACCTCTTAACGGAAAGCTCAACTTCCACTTTAGGCTGCACTACAGCTCCTAGAAATCCTGGGGCTTTCCTGTTACCCAGGAAGAAAATCTTGTGCACAGTAAACACACCTACCTCCTGCTAACAGTGCTTGAACCATAATCTACAGCTACAGCCAAAACCTCTGCATGATCCTGGCAGCGCAGACAGCAGGAGAGGGATGAGCTCCTGGCTGTAGCTGCAGGAAGGCTGCAAATCCAGCCTTGCCTGTGCCAACCCTGTGTCCTGATGGCTCATCTTGGCCAGGGCTGCCACTCTCGTGAAAATACAATAAAGCTGGAATAACGAAAAAAGGAATCATGCCCACATCAAAGCAATAAAAACAGTAAGAAAACACAGAGACATGCCGCTGCAGCACATATCCAAGTACAAACTTTATTAACCGAAAAAAAAAGAGGAAGAGGTGAGCCTAAATACAAGTTACTTAGGTCTGAAGTACCAAAGTCATCAGTGCTACAGCAAAATGAAATAATTAACCTCCACAGCCATTCAATAATAAATCTTAATCTTTCTCTTACAGAGTATCGCAACAACACTTACAGCATCTACAATTTTCTTTAGACATCTTTAAATAAAGTTTTCTCAACATGCTTATTTTCTGTTAGGCGGTGCCTCCCTCTAGTGGCTGCAAAGCTCATTGAAATGCTGTGTACCCTTGACTAGTGGAGAAGGGTTACAAACAGGGTCAGGCACAGCAGGGCTGCTGCCCTCTGGTGGTCAGGAGGCTGCAGTGTTAAGACTGGACAGTGTTGCCTAGGCAACGGTCCACTGCAGGATGCTGGTGTCCTTCCCTCCAGTGGAGATCAGGTAGCTGTCATCATGGAGAAAGGCAACATTGGTCACGTGGCTGCTGTGGCCACCATAGACATGGCTTGGAGCCTAGAGGAAGAGGAAAGACCAGAGAAGAAGAGTTGTTATCCCATGCTTCATTAACCGAGAGCTTCTCTCTCTCCCTCACACCTGAAGAAAGCTCCACAGCTGAAACGTTGCATCTCTTTCAGAAAGGGAATAAACCTTTACCTCTTCCTTTGCAGCCTATGCTGCGTGCTGACTCAGCTCCCTACTCAAACAAGAGAGACATTTTCACCAAGGCCGAAGGTAGCATAAACCTAAATCTGCCAAGATATTTTAGAAAATGAAATTGGTGGGATGAGCTCTTAAACAAGGGGCTGGGCTGTTCTTCCCCCGAGCTGGTAGAGCCGCCTGCACTCGGAGACTCGGCGCTCTCACCCGGGGATGGGAGCAGGGGTTGCAGAACAAGTGCACTTTGCCAAAGTCGTCCGCTGAGGCCAGGAGCTTCTGACTGTTGGACCTGCAGACGGCATTAATGTCCGTTCCATCCACCCCTTCGGGCCAAATGCCTGGAGAAACACGAAGGAGAAACCAAAAACACGCTCAGTTAAAGGAGCCTGGTTTAATATTTTGGGGTTCAACTTAGGTACTGTAGTCACACAGCCCTGTTTGGCGTCTCTATCAATCGTCAACATTTTACAGAGCTTTTCACCATGTTACTGAATCATCACCATGTTACAGGGTGATGAACTGGAGCCATTGGCTTCCAGCAGAATACACTTAGAGGAAACAATAGCCAGAGCTACTGTATAGCTATGCTGTCCAGTTCCGCCGACTTCTCTTACCGAACACGCTGAAGCCCAGGACGCAGGTAGAGGTTGCCCAGTCCAGGTTGCGGACAGCGTCTGCGTTGGTCACATGCTTACAGCTTGAGGATTCCCCTTTTGGACAGAGGAGGATTTTTATACAGACGTTAGAGTATATATGAGGATTTCAAGACAGTCCCTCAACCAAGAGAGACTGTTATCTTGACATAAGCTTACATACAAACTGCCAACACCAGCAAACAGTCTATGTGGGCAACTTAACTCGAATCCGAGTTTTGAACCCACATTTGACTGACATTTCTGTTCTTTCAAAAAAAAAAAATAGAGAATGAAAATAAAAGCCTTACAAAGCTTTTCTGCTCGGTTCTGTGAAAGAATGAAAGTGAAAACACTTCCAGGGAGAGACCCATAGGATGATTTCCTGTGTTCTTTATAAATCACAGCTGGTGCCTGGAAACGTGCTGACTCAAGGACTACAGACCACAAAATGTTTTTTTTACATGCATGCAGGGACATACAGTCCCCCCCCCAGTAAATCTTTATCTCCTTTCGATTAGGGCCCTGAAGATGAGCAATCTAAATATTTCTCATAGTAAGTGGACAAAAAGATTGTAAGACATGTGGACACACACTGACAGAATGCACGCGAGTGTCGTTGTACACCGTTACATCCCTCCATTATCTAACAGCTTCATTATCTAACAGTGAGAACATACAGACTCCACACACACAGGCGTCCAGGAATCAAGCCCAGGGCCCTAGAGCTGTGAGTCAGCAACGCTCACCTCTGCAGCACCACTCCAACCAGTGCATGGTTATATTTCACAGGGAATTCAGAAAGAGACCTGTTTTAAAGAGTTCTTTATGAAACACCTCAGCAGACGTTTATTTTCAGATGCTATTTAACCTGTTCTGTTGGGTCACATTCTGGCCTTCACTGTTTTTTCTGCACTCCCTCTCATGAGAATGCTTCCTAATTGGTTTTTTTTGTAGGCAAAGGGAGGTGCACCTCCAGAGGAAACTCACAGAACAGGATTTCGTAGTCCCCTGAGTTGGTGACGATATACTGGCTGTCCACGGACCAGTCCAGGTGGGTCACGAAGCTGGAATGACCCTGCAAACCAGACAGGGATGAAAGGACTTCCCGGATTGCGGAATGCAGCGGGAGAGGCTACGCAAGCGAGAAGGATATTCATCTGGGACCCACCGTGCACTTCCCCACTCGGCTGTACTTCCTGCCGTTCTCCGACGCTGCGTAAAGGTAGATGAAGTTGTCGTGGGACGCGACGGCCAGGTAGGCTCCATCTGTAGATGACGAGATCAGTCAGCTCTCTGACCAGCTCAGCCCAGCGCACCTCCTCCAGGCCGAATATCGCCGTGGCCACTTAAAGGCCCCGATCGCCGAGCAAAACTCCGTATGTGGTGACAAAGCACAGATTCTGATTTCAGGGATGGATTTCCATAATGCTGGAAAGAAACTGTTCCCCAGTCAAAGCAGCTTTCTGCAGACTAGACACATTGCTAGATATTAAAATAAAATGTGTGCTTAGGCTGCAAGTAAAAAAGCCCCTTTTGGTGCATTTTGCATTTTTAGAAGTTTAGAAGAAAACACATGTGATTGAAGGAGGTTTGGAGCCTTTAAAAGGAGGGGATTCTATGCTCTAGGCTGGACCACACTGTGTCTGTGGTACTTTGACTTACTGGATGTGTTCACTCTAAGAGCACCTACAGTACCTGGAGAGTATTTCACAGTGGAGATGATCTCATTGCCATCCGTGTGCGCACACACTACGTCTTGAGTCTCTGTGTCCAGCACCAGCCACCTACCAACAGAGAGGAGACATGACAACCAGCAGATTCGGACCCGAGCTTTGAAGTGCGTTCCAGTTCCCTCAGGGCTTCTAAATCACCCCCGTGGGCACATGTGTGCTCACCCTGGTAAGGACTGACGCCCTGTCCCAGGTGTAGTTCCTCCATACACTTCCAGCACGGGCTATGGGATGTTGTGACACTCAGCAGGATTAAGCGCTGGATATCCTTCAGTAGCCGTGTCCTGCAACTCTCTTCTGTCCCACTACAACTACACGGGAAGGGCTTGCTCTCAGAAGCACTGGAAACACTGCTTTTCTCATGCTCCCTTCGAGAGTCACCGCCACCGTCTTCCATACCCTGTCACGCTGTGGAACGACTGCGCTTCGAGCAGTAAAAGTGAAAGGTAGATGATTTACCTTCCTGTCATGGTTCCCAAGGCGACCACTGATCCGCTGGGATGGAAACCAGCGGAGCGTGCCGGTTCCTGTGAAAGAGCGGAATAGAAATTCAGAGAGCAGCAGGTGGAGCAGACCGTTCCTTAGAAATTAAAGGCATGATTTCTGACACAACAGAAAATGAAATTAATGGTCGACTCCATGTACAATTTCCACTTCTCGTTAGTTTTATACCACATGCCCCCCCCAGCAAGCCAGCTGCATGTTTCCTCATACACCAGAAATTGCGTCATTTACTTGGCACAGACAAGCCATTGCAGTTACATTATGATATACACAACCTTATCAAAGTTCTGTCGACTTTTATTGGACTAAAGGGAATAGTACTATTTAATCAATGCTATCCTGCCATGTTGTTGTGGCTAACACCTTAAGATCCTCCAGAAAATGGAGGATGGAAGATTTTGGGGAAAACAATATTGCAATAGCAAATACATTTTTTCCAGGACAACAACAGCAAAAGAACTGTAAAAGCGAGAGTAATAGAATGAACTTCGTCACATTAAATACACTGCAGAATGCAAATGTGTTCAAGAAACACTTAATTAAGAGGTTTAATGTTACAGGCTTGTTAAAGTTATACAGAAGGAACCAAACAATTACAGAAACCCAACAGAACAACCAGTTTCCCAGACTTCCAAGGGGTGGGAGACCCAAGGGGAAACCAGGGTGCTGCTGTAGATGGTGCTGGTGGACCAGTAGGTGGCCCCTTTTCCTCTGAAGTGGAATTTCCAAACCAATAACCAGTATGGTGACAAGGGACACTGTCCTGTAGGTGGTGCCATCTTTTGATCAAGATGTTGAACCAAGGTTCTGACTACTGGGTCATTAAAGGCCCCACAGTACCGTTTCTCAAGAAGAGAGGTGTTAACCCAGGTGTCCTGGATGAATTCCACCCTGGGCATGTGCAGTTTACCCTTTCTAAAATCCCCCTTAGTGAAGCATTTTCTGATTTCTGTGTAGTGGGGCTGCTGGTGATGAATGGCACAACCCAGGTGGGTGCTACAGGTCACTGCTGGGTGAAGCACGCTCTTACGTGAAAGTGCTTGACAATCAGGAACGAAAGCACCTACAGTATGAGTCCAGTTACGAACCGGGCTGAGTTAGCACCTTACCTCGATGTACTTGCTCCACAGGGGCTGGTGGGACACAGCATCCCACAGGTGCACCAGCTTGTCTTGACCGCAGGTGATGAACTGCTCCAGGTTGGGGTGGACGTCCAGCCCCCACAGTTCATCGGTATGACCCTGGCAGGAGGGAGACGACGAGACTGATGACCAGGGCTCAGATTAGCTGGTTGGAGGCTTTCAGCTGAAAGTGGTTTCTGTACATGGGACTTGTTCAGCACAGGTGACCCTACAGTGATATCAGTTGTCGAGACACTCCTGCAGCACTAACTCTCCTATAAGATGTTTTGGAAGCTATACTGTGTCCAGAGAGTAGCCCAGACTGGAGGGCAGATGGAGGAAATGATTCTGTAGGCGTATACATGTCATACATGTCTTTAGATGAGCCTGTACTTAACTGGTTCTGTTCTTTACCCCTCTTCTCCTACTACCCCCCTTTACTGTCTCTTCTTATTGTGTATATCTAGTGTATTTGATTTTTACAAAAAGCACTTAGAGAAGCCACCTTTAAAGGCACTATGTAAAATAAAGTTTATTATTATAATGTACCTTCAGCAACAGCTCTCATTGCTGTTACCCTGCTTGCGTTGTAGTTACTACAAGTACACAGTGCTGCTACTGAAGACAACAGCTGTGTTGCCGGGAGCCCCTGCAGGGGGCGGTGCCCAGCTTCACCACTTCACACAAAGCCTTGCTCTCACCTGCACTATGGGGCGGAGCTCCCCGGAGAGGGAGCCCTGCAGAATGCAGTTCCGCGTCGTCCCCACGAACAGGCTCTCCTGCTTCCCCTCGGCCAGGCAGCGGACTGGGCCGAACATCTCGGGCACCTGCAGCGGCAGGCCGGCAGTCAGACAGGAGCCGACATGCGGGACAGAGTGCAGGGAGCCCAGAGAGGGGTGCACAGCGAGGACACAAGGACACGAGCTCCAGTCCACAAGGACAGACGCCCAGCCAAGATACTGAAGCCAAGACCCTGGCTTCTTTCAAGACACAGCTGGATGAGTCCCTCCAATTGGGACAGGAGGCACTTCTTTACACCAAGGGTGGTGGGAGTGTAGAACAAGCTACCCCTCCATGCTGCTGAAGAAGATACACATTTCCTTTCAAGAAACAGCTGGATGGGATCCTCCAGAACAATTAACTACCGAATGGGCTGGATGGGCTTTCCGGCCTCCTCTGGCTTGTAACCTTTTCTATTCCACTAAATAAATGTCATGTAAGAAGTGTCAAAGCCAAGTTCCAGGAAATTCAAAAGCGTTGCTCAAAGCTGCAAAAGCTAACAAACCGACACACCATCGCTTTTTCGCTGTTTAGTTTTGAGCGTTCTTCACTTTCACTTCTATTTCCCAGCAGTCACCTCAGAGAATCGGCGCCGTCTGTGTTCAAGGCCCCAGTCAGACGAGACCCAATGTACACGGCGACGGACACGCACACCAATACAGGCAAAACATAAAAAACTAAACACTGTATAATATTCATTTTTGCTGATAAAACAAACCTCCCAATAAGAAATTGTGGGAAGAACATTTCTGAAGTGGTACAAAAATGTTAAAAGAAAAACAAAAGGCTCCAGAATGAACGGAAAGAGCAGAGGGCCCCTCACCTCCAGCTCCTGGCGCTTCTGCAAGGCGCTGTCCCACAGCACCACTCTGCGGTCCTTCCCTCCGCCCGACACCAGCGTCCCGTCCCTCAGCACGCACACGGAGAAGACCCCGCCCTCGTGGGCCCCTGCCACCACCTGGCTGATGCGGTTCCCACCTGTCAATCACACACTGACCGTCACAGAGAGCGAGTGAGCGAGCGAATGAGCGAGATAGAGCCCTCTCTGCAGCCAGGCCAGCACCAACATTCCTCATCTCAACAAAAACATTCTTCTTACCTTAAAAAGGCACGGATGTTTCTATCAAGCTTTTTTTTTTTATGTTCCCGTTTGCAATGACCTATTAAATGAGCAGTCTGCAGCCCCAGTCTGCTTTGAACATGCTCAGGTCAAGCCCAGGTTAGCGCAGGATGAATTGCAAAGCAAAACACAAGCTGCAGTAAAAAGCAGCTGAAACTGAGAACTGTAAATGACGTTGGAGGAAACCCGTAAACGGAGCAGTCTGGTGGGAGAGCAGTCAGATACAGATTAGGCATTCGCCCTCTTGGCTGAGTCCGGATCTGGCAGAGCGCCCTGCACCGACTAGAGGCCAAGGGAGGGAACGGAAACAAACGTCACAGGATCCGCGTTGTCAACGAAAGATGATCCGTAGCTCTTGAACTTCAGGTACAGCTTCCGAGAGCAAGTGGCAAGCCGATTTTCCCAACAGCCGGCAATTACTGCTCTGACCATCTGCAGGGGCGTCACGGACGCAGCACACTGACCGTGGGGGTGCGAGAGTGAACCCACCTTTGCCCCATATGTAGATGTTCCCGCTGGAGTCCCCAGTGATGGCATCTCCATTCTCCGCAAAGGCGATGCACAGAACGTACTTTGGCTTCTCATGTTTCTGAAGGAAAATTACAACAAAAAACAACCGGCACGATAAAACCACGAATCCTAGGATTAAAATAGCTGGTACTGATGCTTAGGCGCATTGCAGTATTAAACAGCAATCATAAAAGTGCAGGTATAGTTTCACAATAGTTCCAGGCTCAGTTATAGAGAATTAACATTACACAGAATAGTGGTTGTAAAAGTAAATGAGCCTAGTTCTCTTACTCATCAGGATCTGGGATACTACAGTAATTCCCTCATGTATTTGAATAGTTCATTCACTAGAACGTAACATTATTAGAATGAAGGTGTGTTACATTAATAAACATGGTAGATTTGACCAATATTAGGAAATACAGAGATTCCAGTAGAATAAGCTGTAAAATCTGCTTCTTGGGACGCGTCAACCAGCTTTTTTCAAATAACCGAAAACTGAAATCTATACGGGATTTCAAAGCCCACTCTACGATGCCAAGAGCACCTTTGTGTCTCAGAGCAGAACAGAGCTTTCAGGAGCTGTGCAGAGAGACAGTGCCAAGCGCTGGGCTGAATCCTACCTCGAACAGGCCCTGGCGCTTGGTCAGCGTGTTGCCTTCCATGGTCCAGAAGTTGATGTGCGACTTCCCACAGGTCACAATAAGACCGGCCTCCATGGGATGGAACACAGCAGCCAGGACAGAGTCATTGGAACACTGTCACACGAGTGAAACACAAATACCAAGCTGTTGACTTTAGGAAAGCTGCTGGATCGAACTGACCGTTGTTGTCTGTCGTTTACTCTCCCAACCTGGAAATCGACTCAGCGTGCCGAGTGGCCGACGCGCTGCGCTGTGCCAGACGGCAGAGCTGTTCTGGTGCTTCGCTAACCGCACAGCGCTGCCTGGGGAATCCCAGTCACACTCGGCTAATGGCTGTGCTGAGCAGGGCTGCCTTTTTAAAATACAGCAGGTCACCTATCCCACCGCAGTCTGCATTCTCAACAGCTAACGGCAGGGCCCAAACACACATCTGCACTGCGCACGTCTTGCATTGTCTACCATGTATTTCTTTTGTTTGTTTTTGGTCTCACTACTACATATGGATTTTTCCACAGCATATTTATGGTTCCTGTTGTCTACACTGTGTGGTGTTGTCTGTTGTACTGTGTGTGTCCCGAAGAATTCCAATGCACGTGTACATATGGCAATAAACTCCTCTACTCTACTTTTTTAGCAGGAACTGGGAAGGCTCCGGCATTTGGTGGCATGCTTAAGGAGTTACAGGTGAACACTGTCATTCAAGCAGCCTGGAGCCTGTGTCTCATTAACTTTACCTTCACATCCGCGAGCTGCTTCTCTTTCTGCCAGTCCCACACAGTCAGGATGTGGTCGTTTGCATCATCCACAACGCACAGATTGGCACCACCATTCTGGGCCACAGAGAAGAGAAATGAGCAGAGTCAACACTCCCAACTGCATTTGTATTAGTTTTCACCTAGATCTATGCTAACTCCAGTACAGTGTGATTCCTTACACTGTACAGAACAATCAGCTGCCTGCAGTATGTATGTAAATGAAAAGAAACAGTATCATTGGTTCCCTCCTTAAGCTGAAATAGCAAATGAACAGACCACACAATCTTGTAGGAAATTCAAAACAATACATCAAATTAATGCTCATAACAACCTATTCACATTTTAAAGCATTTAATAAGTCAAAAAGATAAACAAATGATTTTGAGCAACAGTAAGCTACTAGCTGCTATGAAACGCTGTGGTTTATTCCACCTAAATATTTATTCATTCATGTTATCTGAAATTTGAGAAGTCAGAAAGCTGAAATCTAATTATGAAATTGGAATTAGTTCCAATAGATGAACTGTTTTTTTCTCAAAAGTATGGATGACTGTAAATGACTGCAAAAAGTACTTGACCTAAAACTAAACAACAATTTGACTTCTTCTAATCAAGAGATAGAAACAAACCCACTTCAGGTATTCAGTAATGTCCTGGCAAGGCTAATGTTGGTATAAACATCAAGTTACACCTGTAGGACTTACAGACTTGGAGAAGGCCACACACGTGGCCGCCCGATCGATCACCCCCATCCCGATCACGTGCAGAGTGTTGAGACTGACCGAATCCCACACCCGGACATGGGGGGGCAAGAGCTTGGGGGGGGGGGGTGGATAAGGGAGAAAGAAAACCGGAGTCATGGTCAGTAACAGAAGCCCAGAAGGAGGTCAAGCGAGACCCATCCGCCAGCTTTCTTGCTAGAAATCGTGGGACGGCGGTTGTTTCTCATTTGGCAGAACTGCCGATGTCTTTTGGCATCTGAGTTTATTTTGCTCCATGTTCTCATGAAGCATCACCCAAGACGGGCCTGCGAACAGAATCCGAAATATAACTGGCAGGCAGCCTGGACAGCCCCCGAGTCTCCACAGTTTGACTGCGTCCGCCGTGACCAGGGAAGCACAGCGAGACATCTCTAACAGCCCAGGCTGGGGGCCCACGTACAGCTCACAGACACCCCTCCAGACCAGAATAGGCCTGGGAAGCACAGCGTTTTGAAAAAGTCTTACTGACTGACCCCCCGAGTGTAATACCTTGCCATCTCTGGACGTTCCAGCTACTTGTCCTGTTGCTACGGTGACCATATCGGGATGGACCCCCAAACTGCAAGAGAGGAACTACTGATTATTTCCAACGTACGCTGCTGAGCGAATGAGTCCCTGCTGGGTGACTTCCCCAACAGCACCTTTTTGTTTCTGTACACAGACACTGCACACCCTCCTTCTGAATATTTGCTCTGAGAACGAAGGCAAGAACGGGGCTGCCTGTTCCCTAGCTCTCAGACATACGGGAGCCACACTGCACTGACACACAGTGTCTGAAGAACACAAGGTGTGATAGCACCGTAAAGCCCTTTAAGTGGCTACTTCAGTGTACTACGGTAAAACACGTGACAGCCTGGGAAAGGCTGAGCAGAGCAAAGAGCTGCAATTCATGAATGGAAAGGACACAGAAAATAAAGGCCTGGCGGGGATAACTTATTAAATTATAACACGCACGTGTCTTGGGGAGACAGGAGGAACCCACAGCACCTGTGGAGGATCCACACAAGCTCCACACAGAAGGGAACGGGCCCCAGACTAACTGCCACATAGTGCTGCGCTCGCTAGCCCAGTTAAAACTGGGGATTCAGGTGCGTCTCGCAGGCCAACGTTACCATTTGACGTCATCGTTGTGGCCCAGGTAGTGCCGCTGCTGTTGCTCCTCCACGTTGTACAGGACCACCACAGAGGCCACGAAGTACACGACCTCGCCGGTGGGCAGCAGGTACAGGTTGGAGCGACAGTCTCTGCCTCTGTATCCGTACCTGGGTGCATCCAGTCAAGGCAGATCCGACAATGCTCTAGAGAAACACTCGGCCAGATCAGACGAGGGTACAAATGAGGCTGACAAGAAAAACCGTCTTATGAAAAGTGCTGTGTACCTTCTGCAATCTGGCTCTGCGCGGATAAGGACTGTAGCCCTTGTGAAAGGAGAGAAAACAAAAGGCTGCTTGTTCATGTCTCATAATTACCTGTACCTTGGCGATTCTTAAAAAACGGATAGTGTGGAGCCCACTTCTCATTCTCACACAACGGAAACACAAAAATAAGAGCAGGGAGATAGGAAGATGATACCCAATGCTGCAGTGCAAGACGGCGAGGGGCAGATTCCCCAGAACTTGAACATTGTGTGTGGGTGCAATTGTTTTAATACTGAGATTGTACCATGCATTTCAGATGTGCCCGCAGTGTTGGTGCCATCACACACACACACAGGGGCATGTCACTGCTCTCTGCTTTTAGCACGCTGTGAAAGTCATTTAAGCCTGGTCCCTCCATTAAAAATAAAAACAGGAGTTCAACAGCAACTCAGTTCTGCTGGGATTCCTCCTGTTGGTTCAGAGAAATGCCTTTTGCCTTGATTACGAGCCAAGGGCTAAATTAAACGACCCCAGTAAACAGGCTCACTAATGCTGTATAGTGACCTTGGCTGTTTCTCAGGGGCTTTATTAATCCTCTTCTGGAGCGATTATTGAGTGAAAACTCACATCCACCTATGCAAGGGGTCAAAGGTCAACCGCTTAATGCACTTGCCAGGCTACAGGCAGTTTACATTTATTGGTGCTGGTTAAGAATGAAAGCAAAACCCACACAGAGGAAAATGCAGTCTGTCTGCTGTACACCTCTTTTTCGCAAGCTCTCACTAAAAAAAAAACACAACATACGCAATTCAATTACGCCACATGTTGGAAACTCAAGGGGTGATTGTCAAAGCTTCTGGCGATATCTGCTCCAACCTTCCTGGCTAGGCTCAAAGGTCAAAATCTACTCATGAGACAAGGAGAAATAGTGTTCTGTAATGAAATAGAGGGCTGCATCTGAGTTAGCAGAGGGCCAAAGCAGAGCCGGCCTCAACCAGGAAAAGGATACACCCACTGCATCTTGAGCTTGTGCTCTGGCAGGTCTTGCTTGCCATCCAGGCTGTAGGTGCCTCTCAGCCGGTCGGGCAGGTGCATGGTGACCGGGCGGCCGCGCACAAACATCTTCACATGGCCATCGTCTGGGGGGGGAGTGGGGGGGGGCACACACAAGGCTATTCAACAGGTGGATGTCACTCTGCAGTTAGGAGGTGCACAGAGCACCGCCAAGTAACACAGGTGCCCCTACAAGCACAGCAGAAGATCCCCGCATCTCGGCCACACCCACTCACACCACCTTCCCCTCACATTCATCACAAACAACGGCAGGTTGTATTGGACACCTTGCGGAAAATGTACGCTTAATGCCGCTTTCATGTTCAACATTGTTGCAAAATGTTGCATCTTTAACCTTAGTTTCTGCACTATTTCAGCCAGCAGCCACATCACCCTGCAACTCACAGCTGGCAGCCCCCCTGAAGCCCAGCAGGTGTGAGCCTGGTCAGTACCTGGATGGGAGACCTCCTGGGAAAAACTAAGGCTGCTGCTGGAAGAGGTGTTAGTGGGGCCAGCAGGGGGTGCTCACCCTGTGGTCCATGTGGGTCCTAATGCCCCAGTATAGTGACGGGGACACTATACTGTAAACAGGCGCCGTCCTTCGGATGAGACGTAAAACCGAGGTCCTGACTCTCTGTGGTCATTAAAAATCCCAGGGTGTTTCTGGAAAAGAGTAGGGGTGTAACCCCGGTGTCCTGGCCAAATTTCCCATTGGCTCTTACCAATCATGGCCTCCTAATAATCCCCCTCTATGAATTGGCTTCATTACTCTGCTCTCCTCCCCACTGAGAGCTGATGTGTGGTGAGCGTTCTGGCGCACTATGCCTGCCATCGCATCATCCAGGTGGGGCTGCACACTGGTGAGGCTGGAGGGGATCCCCATTACCTGTAAAGCGCTTTGAGTGGAGTGTCCAGAAAAGCGCTATATAATTGTAAGCAATTATTAATTATTATTATTATTTTAAGGGCCAGTAATTTTGTATTTAAACACTTCAAGGTGACATGATCTGATTGTTAGCAGGACCAGCGCACTAGACAAGGGAAATGCGCAGGGCCCATACAGCGCCTGCTCCACTTTTCTCAATAGAGACTGGCCGGCCGGCAGACTGCTGCTCCTGAAGGGAAAAAAAAACATTCTTCATGACTTCCAGCTCTGCTCACCCCCTCCATGGTCTGTGCCGGCCAGAGCCTAGGAAAGCCTCGGAAGGCTTTGTCCTGGATAATTGGGTCATTAAAAATGAACGAGGCTTCCATTATAGAAGCAAATTAGGTCTACAAAAACACTATGGACTGCTTTTCTTTGACTATGACTGGGAGTGCCACTGTTCCCCAGACTGAACAGAAATAAGTGCACTTCATTGTCAAAGTGATGTCCTCTTTCCTCGTGTTCCTCTCAAGTTCTGCGGCTGGGCTGCGGGCATCATTAGTAATCTGGTGCCGTTGCCATCCTCATTCCTCTTCTGCTGCTCTGTTTTATTCTGGCTGGACTCCACAGAGCAGAGCGCGAACCTGCGAGGCAACGTAACTCTCCAGCCATGTGATTCAAACTTACCAGCACTAAAGGTGGTTTCTTTGGATTTGCTAGAGAAAGAGAGAAAAAACAGACAGGGATTAATGGTGCACTCGCCATTCCCCCTGTACAAGTGCAATCCTCCACGTGAGCATCACTTGCAGGTGGGAATTCATTTTCATCTCCGTTCTCACAGTCCTGTCACCATCTTTATATTAATAAAGCTGCACTGGAAATTATTTCTGAAGTGCCTGGAAAGAGCACAGTGAAAAAGACCTTTGCACTGTTTGGAAAATGCAGCATTATTTTGTACTTCAAATTCTATTAATCACAGAAGCACTGTCCTCAGAATGTTCCCACGACAGACTGAACGCTCTAACCCTACACATTTCAAAATCTTCCACATCTAACAGAGAAACTCGACTCTACCCAGCCAGTTAATAAAATAATAAAACAGACTGAACTGACAACACGTGTCTAACAGACACCATTAAAAGCTAATTCTGACAGACACGTGAGCCTGGTACCATCTGGCCAATATCTGTGAAAATGGTCGTGCTCACGTGTGCCTGTGTGGATTTGGCTTTTTCACAGTTAAGGTGTACAGAACCCGATTCTTTGAACTGTTAACAAGATGCAAAACCAGGAAAAGGAAGTTACAACCAACAATGGGGGATCTTTTAAAGATAATTTTGAATTCATTTTTTTTTTTTTAAGATCTGATCTGGATTAAATTTGACTGTGCTCAATATATCAGAGGAAAGAAAGAGCTTCCCGAAGATAGCTCATGTGAGAACCGACGAGATAAGACAACAAAGCGTGCGGAAAGCAGCGTGCGCCAGGCATGTGGTCAGCACTACCGCCCTGTGGCTGGAGCAGATTTATTTCCTGCTTGGGGGATGTCTGTGTGGAGCTTGCATGCTCCATCTGCGGTTCTTCCTCAGGCTCCAATTTCCTCCCTGTTCCAGAAAATGTGCAGTTTAGGTTTGCCCGGCTGCTCTTAATTCTTTCTGGGGGTGGGGGATGGAGGGGCAATTTTTTAATTAGTAGCCATTCTGATGCTTGCAGAAAACTAATGACACGACTGCTGTCAATGCAATTCTGCGAGTGTGCGCGCCTACACTGCAAATTATAAAGATCTATGAAATCCCACAGGGCCAGGCAGACAGTATGTCGATTTCCCATAACCTGCTCATGGAAAAATCGCCCAGGCGTCAGCTTAAAAGCCATGTGGTTCTGTCAGTGTGTTTGACATGCAGGGGGATGAGGACACAGGACTAACATTAAAGGCTACAGAGGCCACAGTCTGTGGTGACTGCTGGGAAGCCAGGATTTGTAGGTACCATTTTAGCTTTCCTGATTTTACTTAATATATTAAGTAAGAAATATTTTGTCACATAACTAACACTTGTGGAAGCATAGCAGATATTACATATTACACAATTACATATTTGAGGTAGGATTTACAAACAGAAGCAGTGACCACACCTACTGAAAATCCCACAAGAGCACAGTGTTTCTTCAGTCACGTGCAGGTCTGAGTCTGAAGGACTTTATTGTACAGACCAGAGGAAAGACTGTGGTTGTTTGCAAGCATCTGACCGGAAAATGCTTTTACCGGCCGCTGAGTTTTGCGTGCCTTTGCAACTCTTCCTTCGACGACACATTCTGGCTTAATGGAGCTGCATAATATCAGCTCCCTTGTTTCTGTTTTCTACCCTGACCGCACTTCAGTTAAAACCCAGGAGCTTTGTGGCTTAACTTAATAACTTCTAACACTGCAAGAGCTCTCTCTCCAAATAGAGCCAGGCTAAAATATTTCAGCGGTAATAAGTTATATCGTATCTTCTTCCTGATTTTTGTTTTTACCGCTTCCAGAGAGCAAGGAGCATGTTTTGTGCCCAGAACTTTAAAAGCCCTGGAAGAAAATGCAGGCTCAGAGTTTAGAGTGTGAACTAACATGGTGCACTATTATCTACACGCTCTGTAACAGATCTCGATACAGTGCTAGGGAGGAGGGTTGGAAAAGGCATTTGTTTATATTGTTCCAAACAGTGTTTTGGCAAGAAACCAAAAATGGTTTCTCCTATTTGACTACAAAGCTACATATTTAGTTACAGGCCATCTAACTACTCAGACCTCCCTTTGGCAGGAGATAAGACGTTAACCCCCCCACCCATCGTGGACTCCTCAGCCCGAGCTTGGTTTGTACGCCTGTTACAGCACGAGCAGGATCGTGAGCTACACCACCGCAAGCAGGGATAACACTTCCAAAGCAAAAGCAAATAAATGACAGGAGATGCATCAAACATGGATTTCCACAGCAGAGTATGTGTCCAGTAATTAGATTTGACTTAAACGGGGCAAAACAAAAGCCAGTGACTAGTTTTCTTTTTCTAAAGTCTGCAGAGTGGAACCCGTTTCTCTTTTCTTAGACTAGAGCAACCTTAAGGAACAGTGGGAGGCAGGCTGTCCTGACGTGGAATCTACAGTTCCAAAACCACTAATTGCACAGCAAAACAAACAGCAGCAGGAAGACAAGGAGCAAACTGGGAAGAAGCGCTGGCTGTCCGCTGCCGATTCAGCCTTTTGAATGGCGCAAGCTTCCCTTCAGGTCTCTTTCCACAGCTGACGCCCCACACGGTGTGCTCACTGCGTCCTCAGAAACACCAGTCCACTGGCTCAGAGCCGAACACCAGCAGACAGAACTGAACTTCAGTTCAGCTTCCTTCGGGAGAAACGCACAGCAGACCGCCTCAAGAAAGGAAATCAAGGAACTGGAAACCAAGTTTCCACCTTTAAAAAAGTGTGAATTGATTTTGTAAAAAGGGAGTGAAAAATAAGTCTCACTTAGAAACTGAAGGTTTAATCCAGTGTTTACTCAAGGTCTGGACACAGGATTACAAAACAGCCAGGTCTGCATGCAGCCCACTGTCCTGTTGTGCACTATTAAGCCATTGATCCATTAACCCGCAATTTCAGGATCGATACAGCCAGGAAATGGAATTTTAAATGTATTACAATCAGAGATGGGGGGGGGGGCATCCATAAGCTACTCCACAGAGGTCTTTCTTCCCATCTATTTACTGTATCTAATTACTTTTCTTTTCAATGCTTGTGACAAAGAAAGTATTTTTCAGCAGTTTCTTTGTTTTTCTCTGAATTCATTGCTCGTGCACTTTCATTAAATGAACAATAAAGCTTAATATATTTTGTGCAACCTTCTAAGTCAAAGGAAGCGAAAGTAGCTACTCTTAACATTTAAAAAAAAAACTAATGACAGTACTGTATGATGTGAAATGTGTGCTGCCATTCCAGGATCTTTGCTTTAAACAGTCTTGGATAATCTACACTGCCGGATACAAATTCAGGATCCTGTGCACAGCACAAGAAAGCTGATAAGGTGGGTTTTAGGAAGCACCAGGACTGTATTGCAGTAAAAGAAGGGAGGGAGGGAAGAAACCAAATTTCAAAGGGATCGCAGGGCTGAAAGGGCAAGAAAACTTGGCATGTTTCCCCAACGAGCACATTCTCATCCGACTGGATCGGTCCCAGCAGAACTGAGAGCCAGATCTATCCTATCCTTCCCCTCCCGCAGGCTTTTCCAGAACAAATAAAAAAGACTTTTGTTTGAGGTTTGTCTCCAGTACATAAATGACACGACTACCTTTTTTCTTTACTGTCACGAGTAATTATCTTTCTGTATAGGTGCCTTAACAATAAAGCATTATTGACCTGCGAGTATAATGTGTCAGCCAGCTGACAACATCCAACCTACTAACTGAAGATTTTGATATATTAAATTGACACACAAAAACTCAACACAGCATGTTCTCATTTCCCTGCTTCAGAATGCAAGCACTTTGAACCTGGATTTCCAGTGTCTGACATTTCCTTTACTCATGGGAGCCTTGAATTAGTATCTTCATGTACAAAATCATTAAAATGTCATCTAAAGCTGTGAAAACTCAATACAGGAGAAATCAGAAAATAAAGTGGTGGTTAAGCTTTTAAGGAAGAACAGTCTAGTAGTAGTTCAGGCAAGAGATTTGATGTGAGCAAGCAACATAGTTCCCATGAAATTTTCATTTATGTAAACGCTTAAACAAATGTCATGCAGTGTCACCATGTCCAGAGCTCTGTCTTCTTTTCCACTGTGGCTTGGGATTCATTTTGAGGATGAAAGAAATCAATGTGCACTGACAATATTGAACAGTATGTGTCTGAAAAAACTAATTACCCCATTGCATAACACTAATCCCTTAGGTTGTAGGTTTAAAGTTATAATGTCATTGTGGAACACTATAATTATATATATTTAGAAAAGCATAGTAAAAGTTGAGAGCACAGCTTTTTACTACAAAATGTCACACAAATCACTTAAAAACAAGCAGCTGTGGTGATGCTGCTATTATTAGTTCTGCTACTTCATATGTTAAAGAAATTAGTTTACCATGTTTTCTACTTCTCCTCATGACTATACTTCAGCAAAACCCATCATGATTTTCAAAGTCTGTTATAATTATTAAGTGCAGATTAAACTACTGTGCAAGCTCACACAGAGAGAGTTCTACTTCACCGCTGATGGCCTAGCTGCAGCTTCAGAGAGCGGGCTCATTAGAACAAACAAACCAGAAAAACCACACCAGGATGTTCTCAAAAGTACACAGAGCTAGACTGTGTAAAACAGAAGCCCTCTGACATGCAAATGCAAGTTAAAAAAATGAGCTCCACAGCTACATACACATGAATTCTTCCCACAACTTTAGCATAAGGACAAAAAGTTTACGGGCAAGAGATTTACCTGGATCCCTTTTTCATGGCGAGTGGTGTAGTGTAACAAAGAAGAGCAGAACTTCAAACAGACTGCTTCAGCCTTCCCTGTTGTTTCAGTGAACTCCAGATCCTAGTATATATATAGAAGGCTCACATGGCCCTGTGAGCCAATAGCAGGCCACTTCCTGACTAACCCTGCCTGCCTGACGCCACTCCCACTGCCTGCAACTCTGTGGGCCGTCTGCCTGCCTTCATGAGGACAGGGGAGGGAGTGGCCGGTTCATGAGAGAGCTCACATCTAACTTCATTTACAACGTAATACAGCATGATTATGGCTGCCTTGCCTTGTCTTGTTTATTTCTGCAACAATACCCAGGTGGTAGGGGATGAATTAACTATCAACTATGCTGGACTCTGTGAGCTGAAGGTGGAGGTGTAGATTTACTATTACATGCCTTTAAAACTGCAATCAATCAATCAATGAAAGAACTCCTTTTAGAGTTAAGGTGTCTTTTTAAGAGCAAGCTGCGTCTGTGAATTATGGGAATGAATATTAGCTCTCGTCATTCATTCCCATCATTCCTCTCTATCAAATCTTTTGTTAGGGCACACTCTGCCATTTTTGCATTATTTGTTCTCACTGCGAGGAATTCAAAATAACTGGATTTTCAAGGGCGGGTTTACAGTGGCTATGCGTCACGAGCCTATAGTCCATGTCCAGTATGCATTCTTACACTCCGTGTGCTGAGTGCTTTCGCCCAGTATGACCCTGCCCTGTGTCTGTGTGCCCTGGAGAACTGTTCCAGTCATCAATATCCCAACTGGGCTGGTGGGCTGGGAGCAACAGTCAATTAGGTGCTGAACAGCCACCGTCCCACAGTTCTCACCCCCTGTGCCACCCATGATTAAAAGCCTTAGCAGAACAATTCACCCATGAAGGAAACAGAGCTCAGGGAACACAATTAAAATGGAAAAGATTTGAATATTGGCAACTGTAGTGTCGGCATACCTTTTGTGATTTTATAGCCAGCAGCCATATCACTCTGCGACTCACAACACTTGTATATAATAACATGTACGTGTGTTTCCTCTGAGTGCTCTGGTTTCCTCCCACTGTCCAAAGACATACTGGTAGGTCGGTTGGCTCCTGTGAAACCTGGCCCTGGTGTGAGTAAGCGTGTGTCTGTGTCTGGATCTGTGTCTGCCCTGTCTCCCGTCCAGGCTGTCCTTGCCTTGTGCCTCTTGCTTGTCCTGATGGACTGCGGCCCTCCCACTACCCTGTACTGGATACAGCCGCTAGAAAATGGATACATGGATAGTAATAGTAACCTGTTATTCTAATAATTATTATTACATTTAAATTTTTTACATGTGAATTTTGTGAACCTTGAATATCGCGTTTTGCTTATAAAAGAAGTACACTACCCTGGAAGAAGGGCATTGTCCTTGAAAAGACAGATGTCCGTAACTGTGAAGCACCCAACACCTCTCCCCCCTGCTCACAGAAAGGTGTGCCTGTTTCTGATCAGTACATGTAGAAGGCTTATGGCTCCCAACACTACAGCACTTCACTTCCTGGAGGACGGGGCTGAAGTCACCGACTGACGTTCACTGCTGAAGACTGAAAGAGCTAAAACGTCTTCTTCACCATCTGCTTTCACTAACAAACAAGCTAATGCAGCCATTTCTCCTGAAAGGGTCAGCTGGCTCTTGCTTGTGCCTCATCTGCTGTCTAATAAAACAGGAAATGACATGCGGAGGCCGCTGCCCCTCGGCGGAGTACGGGCTGCCCGGAGAGGAGGCCGGCGGTCAGTCACCTGTCCTTCTTCCCGCTGGATGAGCTGCTGGAGGAGGTGGTCCTGCTCCTGGAGTCCGACAGCACCTCCCTCCTCACCGAGGACAGGCGCTCTGTGGAGCTGCTCCTGCGCATGCTGGGAGGAAGAGAGGCAGGCCCATTAGCACTCGGCTCGACAGGGAAACGAACGAGCAGCTTTTGTGTTTGTGGGGGAAACCGTGCAGGGCGTTCGAGATCACCTATGGCAGGATTTCTGTAGCGTAGCTAGACCAGAACAAAACCCATCATGCTCAGTCTTTTCATCATCATCATCATCATCATCATCGCTTTCCTGTGCAACACATCTGGAACAGAAACCGATTTCCCTTCCACTCACTGCGGCTATGAGGAAGACAACAAGCAGCCAAAGGCCTACTGGTTTCTTTCAGTCGAGCCATGCTGTGAGGAAGAAGAACCATCTAATGCTGCACGAAGGACCCAACTCAATTTGTCATCACACACAGTATAAAAGGAAAAAAAACATTCTGCTACAAATGTGACAGGTGAAGTTCCAGCAGTCAAGGTTCTGCTCACCTGGCCAGTAGCTAACCATTGCTGTGCTCCCCCTCCCGGCCAGAGCAGAGCTCCTCAGGTTCCTCACCGCCATGTGTACACACAGGCCCAGACGCTAAGAAACCCTGCTACCTTTCCCCCAGTACCATACAGTTCAGGATTCTTTATGGGTCACACAAAACCATGGCCTGCTTTGAATAAAGAGGAAGGCAGGAAAAAATAGGAAGTGTTTAGTTAACAAAAAGCCTTTGTTCAAACTTTGTTGAATAATACTGTCAATGTCTTTGATCGATATGAATCTGAGTGTATTTGTTTAAGTACTGAGAAACAGATTAACCGTCCAAAAGCACACAAACGCATTACAAACCTACTACATACAGGTCTGCATGTGTCCAGTACAACCTGAATTCTTATGATGAAAGTAAATGGGAGAAACAGAGCATCCTGTTCAACTACTGGGATTCACAATACATCAGACTAGTCTTGCCCAGGAGTCATAAACAGATTGCCCGTTTAGATTTTAGTCTCTAAAATTAACATCCGAGAAAAATTAGAACCTAATCTTACAATATAAAAAAAACCTGCGCCTCTATCATGGGTTACAGTGATATGCCATTGTAAAAGCAGGGTAAAGTGTAGTAGGACAGTGAAATCACAGTACAGTACAGAGCTGTCTGGTGATAGAAATTGAGGAACTGTGAATAAAATAAATACATGGCATAGAAAAACGGCCCCTTCTAAAAAAGTTCATTGTCAATCTGACATAGTAAATTGTTCTGAAGGTATATACCTTACAGTTACATACTGAATACAGTTTACTATGTTAACTGTAACTGTTAACTGAAATCTCTAACTGTTTCACGCCACAAGGAAGCAAATACGTCTAAAAAGACACATAATTCTCAATTCACAATTCACAGCAACTGCTTGTGCTTAAAATAAGCAGACACCGGAACCCTGAAACATGCCCTATATTCTAGATATTTACAGTATCTCACAGTGCACGTCTCTCAGAGGGAGGCCTTCCACACTCTCTTTGCAAGTACTGTAGCTACTGTTGTTCAGGCCCTACTGAACAATGTGTCATTTTTCCCATCTCAAACCTTTTCAATGGATAAAATGAACAATTCTGAAAAGACTGCCCCATCTCCATGGAGAGCTCCTTGTTGAACCAGTGCTGTCCGGAGCCCTGGAGGCGATCCTGGGCGGAGGACCCGGGATGGCAACTGCGTCAACAGTCAGCCCTACTCTTCTCGGCCGGAGGTGCAGAAACATGGACAATGCACTTGTGGACACTTGTGGACACTCCCCCCCCCATTCAACTCAACGCCACAGCCCAGCGCTCAGAACAAATATGGTGTCAGGGTTCTGGGATATCTCTGTATCTCAGTAATAATTACACCATCCTTGACTGAAGAGAGAAACTGAGACCTACGTCATCAGTGTCACATGTTGAGGGGATTATAGGACAATCAGTGTGGATTTAGGGGATAATCAGCCTCATTTCAAAGGGCAGGTCTTACTTGACTAAGTCATTTTTTGAGCAAGTGACGGCCAATATGGATACAAAAAGAATACATGATATGGTATTATTTACGTATATTTTCAGAAGGCTTCTGATAGAATTCCTTAGTAAAGATGAATTCCAAATTTAATTTTGCATTCACTGTAAAGCATTATTTGGATTAAAAATAAAAAAAGGATACAGGTAAAGGGTGAAATTAGAGTACTGTAATTACCTCAGGTATCTGTATTGGAAGCACTGCTCTTCTAGAGCTATAGCAATTATCCAGATTATGGTATAGTTGATAAAACAGTCACGTTGAGTGATGGTATTTAAATATAATTCAGTTAAAATAATCTGAAAATGTATAACCCAGAGTACTACATACAGGTTGCAGAAACAAACTATGTACGCAAGATGAGAAACACAGAGCTTCCAAAATGGATCGAAGAAAAAGCCAAGGGTGTTTATTGTCGACATTTTTCTATTCTAGATGAAAGGGGGCATTGATATGTGAGGACAAGAATGCTATGTAGTTAAAAGCACTAGAGAGGCCTCATTTAGAATAGTGTTCAGTTAAGGTCACCATGAGGCCAATACAATATTGACACTCCACTATCAATCCAGAGAAGACAATAATAAAGCTGTGAACAGGAGGCACAAAAAAGGTTTGTGGGTATCTACAATAAGATGACGCTTGGTTCATTGCAAACAGCTGGATGAGATCCCCAGATTAGCTACAGATTACTAAATGATCTACATGGGCTATATGGCTGTAGTCTTTCTTGTGTTTTTTTATACAGGGAATTGTTTACAGTTAATTTTTACCACCAAGAAAACAGTAGTGAGCAAATGTATAAATATCAAAGGTCTTTGATATACCTTGTGTATCCTGTCATTCCACCACTCAATAAAAAAAGATACTACAAACCATGACTTTGGCGGATGGTAAAATATTTGAATGTTTTATGGATGTTTCTGTATTTTGTGGCATAATAGTTCATTTGTGGACTGGGCCTCTTACCTTGTAAACGAATTGGGATTTAAATATATCAATTAAAAAAAACTGTAAAGCTTTTAAAAAGCTGGAGTGATCATGTTTAATTGTGGAAAAAAATATAAAATTGAACAGTACTGTATACTGAAAATAAAATGTGATTCCAAACTATGGGTCAATGCAATAATCCTATTCAGTGCCACTTGTTAGTATGAGATGGCATTGTTTCAAATGTGTAATTTGTTCTGTGCTTATAGCTTGTCTTTCTCTGAATGGGAATAAACCACACTATTGACTAATACATTACCAGGACACTTAGAAAACGCACATTAAGATAGCAGGCAGGCCATCTACAGGCAGGACATCTAAAAGGAAATCTGGAGTGGTGTCTTTTGAAAGCACAGCTGAAGAGTGGGTTGCATTTCACACGTTAATCAAGCTTAATGTTAAATCAGAGGGACGAGACCCACGGGGTATTTCACTGTGTGGTTTCTGGTTTTATTGCCCTGTCTTTTGCAGTCTCAACACTTTCATATGGATTTAATGTAAACATTTCAAGTTAACTGTCTCTGTAACTAGCTGGTCGATATCGAACATAGAGCAGAGAGACACCAGAGCCTCAGTCATTATGGCAGACCTACGCCAATGGGTATGAGAACACGCAAACTCCACACAGGCAGAACATCCAAGACCAGACCAGAAGCCAGGACCCTGGAGCTCTGAGGCAGCAGTGTTGGCCACAATGCCAGAGTGCTAACTACACTCCAACAGCATGTTTAGGTTTGTGAGAGCTAAGCTGCCCTGCCTGTACGTTTGCCGGGCAGAACCGAGGGATAGACATAATATCACTTCATCACACATACCTGACATTCTTCAGTAATTCATTAGCATTGTTCCAAAGTCACTTTGAAACCTAGCAGCCTATGCTACACAGGCTGCAAGGTTATTGGGATTTCAGCACCCACCCCCTTGCCGCAGAGAATTCCAAGCAAAACAAGGTTTTACTCCCTGTCTCTCTTTGTAATGTTAATATGACAAAGTTCCTGTATTTCTACAGAAAATTTGTGATCGTGCTGTTTTTGGTAAATGCCGCACTTTTGGCAGTCTAACACAGCACTAACTGTGAACACTCCAGCTCAAATGTGGGCATGTGCATATTTAGACTGTGAAAACTACTTTGTGTAACTGCAGTTATTTTACTAAGTTAATTTTGTGAACTACACATCTCAAAAGCAGTCCCTTTTGGATGGATTTTGTGATTTTATTTTGAGGAAACACTGAATGTTATCTATATCATTTTTGTGATAATAAGGCAACACTGTTATGTGCATGTGGTTTACTAAATAATCTGAGGACCAAAAAGGAATGTATGTGCATTTTAAATTCGTTTATTTTATCAATGAATCAACCCTGTTCACCTTACGTATTTCTGTATTTTATTTGTATAAAGGCAACTCAAAAGGCAACTGGCAACTTCTTACCACTTCAGATGTAAATTACTGTCAATGTTACCATCTTTAACAGTGAAGTCTCCTTAATGTACTTCACTTTTTAATGTAAAACTGCAAGTGGAATTCGCTATGCACCCATAAATTGCTTTTATTTGTAACAATACAGCATAACAAAAATACTAGGACCAGCTGCCTTTCCAGAACTAGTGCTTACCTCAAGAATGCATTTGCTAGATTACGACACTTTATTGAATTTACTGAATTGACATGAGTAATGCAGATCTGCAGGTCTATTCTCAACATCCTTGACCGTGCACTGTACATCCACATTCCATATTCGTATAAAAATTTATTGTAAGCGGCAACAGCCCATAGATATTTCTCATTTAACAGTATCATATCAGACAAGGGATACACTGACCTCTACTGGCAAAAAAATGAGAATGCATTTCTGGCTGCCAGATCCCAAGCTTTCAGAAGATCCAAGTGAAAGAGATTAAAACATTAATACGATTTAAGACGTCTTCTAAAGCACCTCACAAAAAAGGGATTAGAAGAAGAAAGGAGAAGATCTATCCTATACATGCATATTGACATTTTCACACAGATAAATCCTATTTGTTTAAAAACAATAAGCCACTCACTTTTTGATAGACTGCAGCATGTCTTTCTTGGGGGAGGACGGAGATGAGGGGTAGCCCCCCAGCCTCTTCTGCGGGAGGTACCCATTGCTGAAGTTGGGCTTGGATGGCAAGGCTTGCAGAAGCTGACGAACTGAAACCGAAAAAAGAGGAAACCGGAGTTTATATATACTCGTCCAATACATGAGCATTTCATGGGTAATACAAGAGCAGCTCTGTTTGTCTGGAAGCTGAACATCGATGCTTTCAGAGGCATTCAGATACAAGTGAACAGGACAGAACTGAAGCTCTGATGTCAATGAAACAGCAGAAGCAGATGCCCGCCCCTGACTTACAGTACCAGTGCTGAGAGGTATATGAAATGTAAAATTTATGTCTTTCTTTTACCAGTTCACCTTCTCCCCATCCTTGCCCACATCTGTTGCCTTTCCCATAAACACTCTTGCGCCTGCAGTTATAACCCCAGGGGCAGCTCCGACACCTGTCCCTACCCCTGGAGCTGGCAACGCAGAGATGCACTCTGGGACGGAGGGCACCGCCCGCCCCTCGAGGGGAACACTGCACCCCGCCCCCCGGGCCCCCACCTCTTGAGGGCGCCGCCCTCTTGCCGAACAGCTGGCTCTGCTCCTCGCAGCAGCCCAGGCGCCGCAGCGCGTCCGCCAGCGCCGCCTTCAGCACGTGGATCTCGTCCTCCTGCAGCTGGACGCGCTGCTCCAGGTAGGACAGCCGGTCGTCCACCTCCATGGCGCTGCTGGCCGACAGGTTGTCATCTGCCCGGCGCAGGGGAACAACGCAGTGCATGTAGAGAAGAGAAGATCTTGCATTAGGAATTCGTCTTTTCGCAGACCCCAGCTTGCTCTCCATGAGACACACAGACAGGGAGAGAAGCTGGGGGTCAGAGCGCAGGATCCGCCATTTAAACAGCGCCCCTGGAACAGCTGGGCTTCAGGGCCTTGCTCAGGGGCCCAGCGGAGTAGGATTCCTCTACCAGCCGCAGGATACGAACTGGCAACCTTCCAGGCACAGGTGCAGATCCTGAGCCACAGAGCCACCACTCCGCTCATATACATCAAACAGAACAAACTCAGGCTCTCCGGCTGGTGCACAACAGACACTACTTTCTTTCCTTAATATGGATCCAAGGGTTCCGACTTCTGCATAGAACACAAACCAACTACAAAGTGTAGCAATTTAGCCTATTTCTCCTGTGGACAAACAAAAACTACAAAGGGGAACCCGCACTGAGATGGCAGTGACGTCTTTAGGAAGGTACTGTACTAACTGCGCTGGTTACCGGCCGGGAAGGATGCAAAGCACTGACTCTTCAGAGTCTCTTCATCGTCAGAAGCAGTTCCGGGAACAGCCTGCAGCAGATTCCCAAACGAACGGCTGCCCCTGGCCTCAAGCAGCCACACTTTTCAAATAGAGCGATATGCAATGTTTGTCTTTTCTTCTTCTTCTTTTTTTGTTTGCATTCTATTTAAATGTACAGGAGTGCTGGGTGTCCATAAAAGATTTCCCTCAGGGGACAATAAAATCTTATCTAAAAAGATACAGTAAAATACAATTACCTATGACAAAGCGGCATCTTGCTCGGACAACACCGACGATCCTATTTTGCAGTGCAGAAACAGGTGTGACACAACAGAACTGATTTGTAGTGGAATTACTGTAAATCCTGCACTTCGCGCTCAAAAATTCACACGTTCTCCAAAACGATTGACGGGGGTCTTGTCACAGGGCCCAGACCAAAAACACCCCTTTTCATTTCGTTTCGGATAGCAGGCTACCGATGCCTGGGGCGTCCCCTGGTCCAGCTTTAAGAAATGAATGCAACACTCTTGGAGAGTGATGATCACGATCTGACTGCACCGGGAGAGCCAGCCGCTGACTGTGCCTGAAGAGCCTTTATTGAAAATCTGATGATAACAAAACGAGACGACTGCAAAGACAGGGAGGGGAAAGCCAGGGAACCTGGACCAGGATGCTACAGGACAAGAGGATGGCAAGCAGCATCCATGGCAGTCGGCTTGCTGAAGGATTAAATATTTATTGACGTTCTGCCTCACCGCCTGCTTACCTGCCATCCTGCTTGTCAGTCTGTAGGTCCAGCCCCAGCTGGTCTGGAGCTCAGGTCCTTCCCCTGGGGTTCCTCACCAGCTCGCGTGCCAGCTGTCCTCGGCACACGGGAGCACGGCGTTCCGCAATCGGAAACCCCTGCCCTGCCCTGCCCTGCCCTGCCGGTCTGCAGACTCCCTGATGCAGCGTTTTGCTCCATGCTGGCTCGGGCCCAGACACGCACTCAACCATCCCAGACACCCAGTTGAGAGGGAGGCTAAGCCGGGCGGAGAGAGCAGCAACTTCCTTGCTCCTGATCTTTTTGAAAGGTTCTTCAGGATTTAGGAAAGAAAAGGTTCTTTTACAAATTAGAACTTTGTCCGGGGAGGAGGGGAGGGACTGCCTGGGGGAAACACGACTTATGTGAAGATGCACTAAGGCTAAGGCTCTAATCCACATTTTGTCAGCTGAGACAGTCTACAGCGAGAACTGCAGCCACCCTTTGACATGGCAAATATCTTTTAAAAGAGGCAGCGTACCCAGTGTCATCTGACACTGTCCAGCCAGTACAAGCAAAGTCAGATTAAACGAATTAAAAACAGGCCTGCATGCTCCTTTAATAAAAGCAACCTTCAACTGCAGTACATTCCTCCGTAATTTCGCAAAGGTAAAACTCACATTTAGTCTTTTCCTTTGCAGTAAAACTAAACTATATCTGCATATGTTTAGGCAATACAGTATGTCATGACTTTTTCTGTAATGCATTTTGCATGTGCCATTGATGTCATGTATTCATATGTACATAAGCAATGTGTGTCCATAAAATCAAATTACCCCTAGGATACAATAAAGTTTCTTATTTTACATATTATCTTAAATATTTAAGATTCTGACCAAGATATGCTGTTTAATCTCCTGTGAAAATAACTGCTCTGTCCCACTGTAGGTTTTAAAGTTGTGTGATCACATCCTCTAAAAGTGTATAGTATACTGCTGATAGTAACACTCACACATTACCCAGAACAATCTCAATAATAATAAAGATCTTGTATAAAACCTACGCTTTCAGCAGGGAATTGGGTTTCAGTCCTCACATTAATTATTTACAGCAGAACAGGAACTTTGTGGGCTTGTCATAACCAGCAGAACAGTGAGAACTGCCTTTGCAGTCAACCATCTCCCACCCTTCCTTCCCTGACGGTTATTTCATGGGTGACCTCTGCTGGTACTTGAAAAGACGTCACAAAGCAGCAGGAATCTCGTCGTCACCCCCAGCACGTCGGGAGGCTGGTTGTTGTGCCCTTCAGAAGACAGCCTTTCCCCAACAGCCTCTCTCGAACCTGCTCCTTAATCAAAAGCCCTGTCTTCCAGGAACAGGTCTGCCCTGCTCCTTACTAAGACCGTAGTTCATGCAAACGCAGCATTTTCACATATAACGCCTCTGATGGTGCTGGGGTTGGCCGGCCGCCTCCGCCGAGCTGCCCCCTTGTGACCGGTCTCAGGGGAAATTAAAGCCGCGCGGGCCTGGAATGGATTCAGCCACCTACATTTCTTTTTCCAGGGATACAAACACCGATGTCACCGGCAGGAGGAAAACAGCTCTCCCAGCAGCGATATTGAACTTGGAAACACCTAAGCCGAGACCGAAACACCTTCTGTGCTAATATCAGCCTGCCGAACCGGGAGAAGAGAGGCGGGCAGTAAAAGCTTTTGTACAAGGAGAAAAAATAGTACGGGATGGTACGGGCAGACTATGGGAGAGCAGAGGGAATTTTCCTTAAAAGCCCTTTGCAGACACGGATGTAAAAAATATCTACAGTGAATATTTTACATGCAGTTACTGTAAGATACATTTGAAACAGTCTGAGACAAATTCAGCTGTTCAAGCATCCTTTTTTATCTATCTGTAACTAAGATAACGAGAATCTATAATGCTACAGTTCTGGGGGTTTTATATGCTATGATCTAGTAGGTAATCTGCTTACTCTTTCTTCTACATCAGAGCCATGAAACTTTAATGATCATAAGACGTGCATAAGACAGGACCTGGGCTACACATTTAACTGAAGGTCAGCAGAACAAGGCCCATCTTGTCTCGTGTTTTCACTTGCAGTGCTCCCCTGTATCTGCTGCCTTAAGATCTTCTGCTGTTTTCCAGACACGTCACAGATCAATAAATAACTAACCAGAGGAAAAACACTGGTGACATCAGACATCCCTCCATCATCAGACGGAGACTTAAGTTTCAATCATACTAGGATTTTTGCTGCTGTTGTGTATTCATATTATTGGGAATATTGATTGAGAAGAGTCTGAGAATTACCTTTTGTTCTTCGTGGAGAGAGTTACAAAATGGGCATGAACACCAAACATATCTCACACATGTGACATTCCAAAAGCATGTCACAGTCAATCGCACACTTTAGGATGAGGTGTGGGAACATTTCACATAGCGGACTGGTTTTTACATTATTCATTAAAAAATACAGACGAATAAGTGCTACATGAGTAGTCAATTTATTTCCCTCAAATAGACATTCTTCACAATTTCCTACTTGAAGCAAGGAAGAAAAAATGCTTAATTCAATTATCCATGATTGATACAAAATCCCCAAACACTGCAGCAAATTCATTTCGACAGACAAAGAGCTGCTTTTGTTCAAAGTGTTTCAGGCAGCCCTGCTGTTGTCAGACAGAAGTAATAACTCTGCTACCACACAGGTAATGTAGGGGGCTGGGTCCTCTGCTGGGATCTAACCTCTAAGGAGAGAGAAGTCTGTCAAGTTCTACAGAATGACATACAGTACAATGCTTGCCTGCTGCAATTCTTTAAAGATCAGAGTAATAATTCTAAGCAATCAGTAATACTTCCTGAACATCTGAGCAATATCATTTTAAATGTCTCTGGCAGATCCGCTGTTCCATTGCTCCTCCATTCAAACCAGGTCATCTGAGTCTTTCTGGTCATAACTGTCTGATTCTATTTTATCTTTCTCTTCCCCAGATCTACAAATGAACTTTTAACATTCTGGGAGAGAACTACTATTTGAGGTAGTCCAGTGTGCATGTAGCATATAATACCCCAAAGAAAGGGAGGTGAGGTTTTGTTAAATTAATGTTTTAAATAGTGAACAACTACAGTACATTACACATTAGAGTAATGCAGAAATAACATGTCTTGTACACAAATTTCACCAGAGAAATGCAAACCTTGTGTTTTGTTGTGGGAAAACACTCAAAAATATGATCTAATCCTCCATGTGAGGTGAAATGGTACAGTATATATTCCTATGACGGAACAAGAAAAGGTTTATTCCGTGCTGAAAAGAGAAGAAAAGAAACAATGTTCCGTCTGTGGAGCCTTCTTCAACACTCAACGAAGCTAGCTAGTGTACGTGAACCATATTCTTATGATGATAACTAATAAAAGTTAGAAAATAAAATCTACATCAAGCTCCGCAATAGCCACAGATCAAAGTTAGCAATTGCAGGTGTGTGGCTGTCTGCTCTGCACTCTCTATCGTGGCCCAGATGTTTCACCACTCCACTGACGCGTCTTGATTTAAAAAGGCAAAGGTGGTCCTCTAGGCAGAGGTAGAGGAAGGAGAGATGGCAGCAGTAAATCCAGACTAGAAAATACCGATCCCATCTGGGTCAGATGCACTCGCTTCTCTAAGAAGGCTGGGTGGCGGTGACACCTGGGAAACCGCTGTCTGAGGCGGACCTGGCAGATCAAATTGTGGTAACTGGATGATCACCCAGCAATTAGGGCTGTCTGTGCTCATCAGCTGTTTCCAAGGGGGCAGTGCACACAGCAGTACGGAGCCCAGGTTACTGTACAGCACCGCGCACGGACCTGCTGCTGCCTCTGATGATGACATCACTCGCTGCTTTGTTTTCCTTGCTACAGACTGAAGTCACATGACGCAGCCAGGAGCGGCTTCTCTGCAGGGAGACACAGAGCTGGCGGAGGAGCGTGGGTAAGGCACAGGTGCCAGAAAAGAGGCTCCTTCTCAAAGACGGTGCTGCTGTGAAGCCAAAGTATTCCAGCCATGTCTGGTACTTGAGAGGCGCTGCTTTAAATTCTCCGTTTGTCACTTTGCTACAACCTTACGGATGATACGACCTGCAGCAAACTACCAATTTAAGCCAAGGAAAGAAACAGCCAAACAAATAACAGCCAGTCAAAGCAGGAATGTCACTTGAGCCTGTGGTGAAACTTAAAAATGAGTCACTGATGATGAACTTGTTTTCATCCTCTATCAGATCCATTCCTGACAGCCCGAGAGCCTGCCCCACCAGATGAGCTTAACCCCCTGCAATGAGGGTCCCCACCTATTCACACGGGCAGACTCAGGCACAACAACCCTGCCTGCGACAGGGCCTCGAACCCACAACCAGCCAACCCTGAGCTGAGTCCAACCCACTACTCCGTAATAGTCTGCATCGCAGAGCCCTGCTTTCTCTCTCTACAAGACAACAGCGATGAGACCCACAAGAGTCCCTTCTCTTCAGTCTTCCACATTTATAGAGCTCAGCGCACCTGGTTACTGTACATACTGTAGCACACTTCAGCTACTTAACATTAAGGACAGCTCCATTGCCGAAATACTGGATCACACACTGTTCGCGCAAGACATCGTAGAACCAACGTTTTAACTATCATATACAGTACTAGTAGGTCTGAAATGCACAATAACTTTGAATTCAAGCAAGATAAAGCAAACAATGTTTTTAATTTACGCTTAAATTTAAGCACTGGGGCGGCCTCTGCACGCCTCACCTGTACCTCTGAAGGTGTCTTACATTGCAAAGAAGCCCTAAGGTTTTACTCAAGGATGCAACACATACCGGGCGCAGTGATATCTGCCACCACATGCATGACACCTTTCACCGGTGCGCCGTGCTGGCATCGCCAAGCTATGAGCCCACCTGCGCGGCCTCGCCGTGTTTACATCGCCGCCGGCCTCGTCCTCCCCAGCACGGCGCACGGAAAGGTCGAGCCCCTCTCCGCCTCGGGGTCAGGAGGGGCGAATCAATCGCACACGCACGCACGGATCAGGGTGGCACAGACTCTATAACCTGCGCGGCCCGGCGCCCCGACAGCGCTCCGCTCCCGGTGTGCGGGCGGCGAGCTTCCCGGCCCGGTTACAAACTTACCGTTGCAGTACTGGAGCAGGGAAGAGGTGTCATAAAGGTTGCCGTACGACGATACCCTCTCTGCCATTTCGCCCCCCTTTCCTGCACCCCTCTTTATCAACAGACCTTCCCGAACGTCTACACCCCGATCTCCACCTCCCTAAAATCCAATTCTTCCCCCTCCGTCTGCGCATCCGCCTCGGCTCCTCTCTCTCCCACCTTCTCCCTGCTTCGCGTTTCTATAGCAACCGCCTCACCACCGGGACTTTATTTTTCTTCTTCCACGGTACGTGGCTCACAGGAGCAAAAGCTTTCACATCACCCCACTCAATAAATAAAGGAGCTGCCGTTCGTTTCGATTTTTTTTTTTGTTTAATAAAAAAACAAGCTTTTGACGGCTTTTATTTGTCGCCGTTTTGGCTCTCTCTGATTCGTGCGCATCTTCTGTGAAGCGTGTTACCACTGTCGCGGGGCTGCGTGGCGTGTGCACGCGTGTCGGGAAGCTAAAGCCCGGGAGCTACTGTCTGTGCGTGGGGGAACTACACGCGTGAACCCACGTGGAGTCCAGCATATCCGACTGCGATGTGAAGCGGGAGGACCTGAACGCATTTGATCAAATTAAGACACTTTTGTTGTGCCTCCACTTCAGCCTTCTAGGAAAATGAATATGTGAGCCTCCTGTGTTGACATAAAGAGGCTTCACGCGTGGGGGACGTGCAACTTTTTCTAAACCACGTCCTGTGTGCCACGTTCTGTTGACTGCTTCTGCTTTCTGCTTTAACTGGCATCGCTGTACTGTAGACACATCCAGCGGTTACGCGTTTTGTCTGTCATATTCACCATTCATACAGGTCTGCAGAACGGAGCGTGGAGCTTTTGTATGAATGTAGGCCACGTTTCACTGAGTCGCCCCCAGACGGGGAGCCCACGCCTGCGCAAGGCAGTGCACACCCTGGACGGGACGCCAGTCCATCGCAGGGCAAGCGCAAGCCAATGATAGGACCTTCATATTCATACTGTTATTTTTTTATTTAATCCTTTATTAAACCACATGCATCAACCGAGAACAATATAATCATTATGGGGGGCATGGTGGCGAGGTGGTTAGCATTGTGCTGGGGCCCTGGGTTCAGTTCTGGACCTGGGGTGCTGTCTGTGTGGAGTTTGCATGTTCCCCATTATTACTCTGATGCTCATGTGGGTTTTCTCCCACAGTCCAAAGCTGGAAGGTTCATTGGCTTCTGAGAAAATTGGCCCTGGTGTGAGTGTGTGTCTGTGTCTGTCTGTGATGGACCTTTCCAGTTCGTACCCTGCCGTGCGCCTGTTGCCTGCTGGGATAGTCTCTGGCTCCCCCACGGATGGATTTGCTGCAATACACCCAGTACAACAGAGCAGTATTGCAGCAGTCTGAGTGAAGAGCTTTACTCAAGGTGAAAGGAGCAGCGTCTCACCTGTGCTCCACACATCTGCCACTGACTGCGTACAGTCCCGTGTTTAGAATCCTTTAACCGCTTCAGACGGCAGAGAAATCCGAACCCAGCCAGGAGACTCCAAACTCTACCGCAGAAGAAGAAGCACTGAAAGAAAGGAAAAATAACTCGGTAAAATCTAGCTAGAACACAAGACGTAATCGGATGCGAGTCAGGCTTGGTACTGAGCAGTTTCGATTCTGACTGAGAAGTTTCCCACAGCCGTCTCATGAAGGAGTCTGAGGGTTTAGAAGTGTGTAACAGCGGGTCTCTGTTGATAGACAGACTAGCACATAAAAATGATGAGCCTAGCTAGATTAGGCAAAAAATAATCCATGTTTCACTGTTTACAGCAGGTCTCTGTTACACATCATGTATCACTTATTTACTATTGCTCAGCATGCTGTGCTTTAGTAATAAAGTACTAAGAGAAGGCCTTCGGGTTACTGCTAAAAGTAATAAGTGATGTGTTTTAATAGTGGTCACCATGAAAGATTCAGAGCGAATGATGCCAACCGAGTTCTCCTTCACCTCCAGAGCCCGTAACTCGTGATCGTGACGTCGTTACCCAGAAGCCACTGTTCTTCGTCTTTTTTGCGCCCCTCCCCCCCTCCACCTGTGCAGCCGCCCCTTGGCTCACTCGGGGTTCCCCAGCGCAGGGCGCTCACGAGTGAAATCCGTCACATGCAGTAATGTCCGCAAGCACTGGAGGGCGACATTTCCCCAAATACAGGTTTTGGTTGAAGAACAGTTGTTTTCTAATCTTCCCTCCTGCTGTCGCTGTGGTTATTGCAGAAGTGCGATACTGTGCCTCTCAAACGCTCTCACACACACTCCCAGAAACACTCACCCTGCAACCAGGAGTCCTCCAACCTTCAAGAGTGCAGCAGGGATAAGGAGGAAAATTCAAGGCAGGATTCTTGTTTTTAAATCTAAAATATGTTTGAATGCTTGAGGGTACAGAGGCATGATAATAGACTGAAAATGAAAAAAAAAATGCTGTTCTTCCATAGCTACTATCCAGGTTTAGACTGCAGACGAACGTGACAGCAACTCATCATATCAATTTGCATTGTGCAGAGAGAAAATTGTCATTCTTGTTTCACACGTAGTCTTGGAGTTTTGTGGTGGCAGAAATGAATCACTTCCTTCACAATGCAGAGAAACGCAGGTAACTAAAACCATTTCAGGAATGACTTTATGTTTTATGAGCTCCAGTTACACTGCGAAACAACAGCCACACAATTATATTGCTTATTTTAGAAAATCCATTTTCTAGGCAGTTTAAGTTCAGTGATTCAGAACTTATATTTATAGCTTATGGTTCTGTTACCTGCCTGCACCACTCCTGCTGTTTACATTATAAATCATCTGTTATGCGTGTGCCCAGTCTTGAATTCTTTTTGAATTACCTTTGCTGCTCCTACAGATGATCAGTTGACACTGCAGAAACTTAAAAATGATCAGTGGTGACTGGAGGCCTTCTCACAGAACTGACCTGATTCCAATGTTCAGAAACCTTAAAGGCTTTGACAGAGTCGCACCAGTGGATTTTCACAGCATCAACAATGAAACACAAACCACAAGACAGAAATGGAGACTACAGTATAACTGAAAAGAAGAGGCATTTCTTTACACAAAGGGTTGTGGGGGTCTGGAACAAGCTACGCAGCCATGCTGTCAATGTCAGGTTCTACCAATAAATGATTGAATTAGCTCCTCAGATAAATTAGCTACTAACAGCCAAACATATTGGCCCCCCTCCTGTTTGTAAACATTCATATGTTCTTATATTTTAATGAATGGCATTCGCTCTGAAAGGTTATTTTAACATGAAATTGAATGCATGACTCTGTATAGTAGGATGTGGGGAATTGTAATATTGGCTCATGGTGGTTCAACAAGCTATGCTGCATTGTGCAGATTTGACTGGTACCCTTACAACAGGGATTAATTGTTCATCATAGCAGAGAGCAAAAGCGCATTCTTCTCAAGCCCTGAGGCAGATTTAGAGAGAGCCCTTTTAAAATAAAGGGTTAGAAAGGCCAGAAAATTAAATTCACAAGTTACATCCTCAGACCCTGACCCTTTATCTTAAATAAGGCTTGTGTTACCAAAGCCTAATGTTGTTTGCTGAAAGGAAGCTTGTCTGATAGATTAATATGGTTCTAAGCAGCTTAATTTAGGATTATCGTCCAAGAGACCTGGGTGTGAAAATAGCTCAGCAGGCAGTAGGAGTCAGAGCCTAATGACTGCAGATTTGCAGGCTGAAGGAGTAAGCTACATCGGCTGCATGTCTGAGCTTTGTGACAAACACAACAGTCATTACTATTACTGGAACCAACTCTTTTCTGTCTCAGACTCAAAAGCCGATGAGTGGACTTGGCTTATGTGTTAGAACATTATCAAACGTGCTCTTGCAGTCACCCCATGACCCATAGAGCTTCAATTCAGCAATGAAGAGAGGCCTGGGAACAAGAAGATAAAATTAAGATGAGACACGTTTCTGTTGATAACTACAGTACATCTTTCCGCATAATGGCCGTATGGGATGGGCTGCAGTACAAACAGCCCCCTGAGCAAGATGAGCCCAGCAGTTCCATGAAATTCCTGCACTGGTGGCGACCTAGAAGGATCCAGCAGGGCTGGAACCCCCTGCTGCCCTTAGGATGGTGGCTGGGTATATAATTAACAGTGAGATATGAATCGAAGTGTCAAAGTGGGAACTGCCTTTAAAACCAAGAACTGAAGGCCCTTCTTTACACAAAGAGTTGTGGGAGTGTGGAACAGGTCCTATAGCCATGGTGTTGAAGCTGATACCCTGGCTTTGCTCAAGAAACATCGGCATGAGATCCTTGGATCAATTAGCTACTAATTACTAAACAGGCGAGATAGGTCACATGGCTGCATCTCAATTGAAATCTTTTAAGTTTTTCTTTCTGTTCTGTTATTATATGTTACTGAAGTACGGCACAGGCACCAAAACTATCTGATGCTTGTGCGTTATGGGCTAAGTGTTTTTCAGTGTGTTTTATTACGTTAAACGTACTGAAAAGTGCCCCGAATTGGGCTTTCATCAAAAGCTCCTTAAGTGTAACTGAGCTCGTCTAATCTGAAAAGGTTGCTGCCTCCCAGGAGGAACGAAGAAAATGAAAAATGCAGACTGATAATACAGAGCTTTTAGGCCTTGGATGCAGGTTCCCCACATCACGTCCTCCTCTTGAGCACTTTTAGAAGGATTTCCATTCACTACTTTTGCTGGAATGCTTTGCAAGTCTAATCACCACCTATGTAAACACCAGCAATATACTGTATACTGTAACATTACGGAACACTAGTAGCAGGGCCTGTAACCATGACACAACCTCAATGGAAAGTGACGATAATCCTAAGGCTCTGCTGTAATAGGTGGACTAAATTATTCACACCTGAGTCCTGGGGGGTAGGACCCTAAATGTGATTCTAGGTGGGACCAGTCAAACTTTGGTAACCACAACGAGACCAGTCTTGGACTGATTCTGTAAAGGATCTTGTATTACAGAGGCACCAGGGAAGTAAGAGCAAAATGAGTACTTGACAGTCTGAGGAAGTAGGAAAGAAACTAGGTAAGACAAATAAATAGAAAAATATTATAAGTGAAAATGAAAAACTAGTATTAATAATAATAACAATTACTTACACTTAAATAGCACTTTTCTGGACACTCCACTCAAAGTGCTTTACAGGTAATGGGGATCCCCTCCACCACCAGTGTGTGGCCCCACCTAGAAGATGCCCCAGTACTCCCACCACACACACCAGCTCTCAGTGGGGAGGAGAGCAGAGTGATGAAGCCAGTTCAGAGAGGGGGATTATTAGGAGGCCATGACTGGGGAATATTTGGCCAGGACACTGTGGTTACACCCCTACAATTATTAAAAGTAGTAT